TGTGTTCTGTCCTATCCAAATGGACAACAGCACTTACCCTCACTGAACCAGACTGACCAATTAATTCCTCAGAAGATTACCAGATCTCCACTTTCAATATAGCAGGGATGATCTTAGACTGTGTTTATTGACCAGTGATGACAACAATACAATTGATTCCCTTTTAACTTTAAGGTTATTAATATTCTGATCTCTTTATGCATAACAATATTGGAAACAGGATTTTTTTTTACTTTTGTGTTGTTAACATTACCATACAAAATCATGATTACTAGAGGAAATCATTAATGAACAGTAATTGCAAACTAAGAACATCAGAAATACATATTTTTGGTGATGTGAATGTTGATGTTAAATGAAATAGTCTGTCAAAAGTTATTAAACATCATTCTTTTTTCTGCCTTCTGTGCTTCAGAACTAGAATCTGTGTGATTTCAGATTGTAGATTAAATCATACCTTCTGAATTTGTGTTGACAGTTCCCATAGTTAAAGCATATGAGTTGCAAAACTGGTCTGATTTGTGTAGTGTGTTCAGTCACTCACATTAGTTTCAGACTGTTATTGCTTGTCTTTTTTTTTGTAATTGTAATAAATACTGGTGCTGCAACATGTTGAACTGTGTGTGGTTAATTGTAAAGGAATAATTACATAAATAATTTTTAATTCATTTTAACATTGTGTACAAGTAATACGAATGCCCAATAAGCATCCCATCTTAAATTTTAGTGGCATTATATCATAAAACATAAAAAGAATGTTAAATCGAGAGTGTAATCAATACTATTGTTATATTAAAACAATGTCAGGCATCTGGTGAATTTGTGAGTTATTTTGAGTACCAATTTGTTCTGTTTAGTTCATTTTAACTATCTGTAAAATACACTATTTTGTAAAAAAAAAAGGATACGCTTTTATGTATGAGAAAGCTCATCCTGAATACAACACTTGGAGAAGTTGACTTGTTCCTCCGCCCTCTGTAGTTTGAGAAGTTCACGATCAGACCTCCTCTCCCAAGTAGCGTCTTCTGTCTCCCTCTCCCTACTGCAAACGGAGAGGCTGAAACCGATGCTTATCCTTTTTTAGTTTTAAGTTTTTTTTTTTCAAAAGAATATTTAACCGTCTTGTAGGTTAATTCACCACTTACTTGCATGAGGACCACTGAAAAAAGATGACTTATTCGACATTTTTTCTAACTTTTTTGGGCTTTTGGGCAGGGTCGCTAACTCAAGAGGTCCTTTCCAAAACGTTTTATGGAGGTAAGAAAATCATTCTTACATTGTCACTGACTTTGTTCTGACGCCACATTGATTTGAATTCAATTTGAAACCAAACTAAATTGATAAAGATATGGATTCGTTCAAGTTGTTTTTCTATGAATATTTGTTGTAGTCTTTTGTGAAGTCTGTATTTTATTTAACCCTGGATTGTTGCTTGCCACAATTTTTAGCAATAACTGCATTTTCACAAAAATGTAAAAAAGGTTAAAACAAAGGCTGTGGAATCGTTAAAAAAATCAACGTTCTATAGACATGATAATTAAAAAAAACTTTAATTTTTAACGATGAAGTAATTACGTATTTGCAAATCTGCAAATAATATCTCAGTATAGGGAACAGGGAAATACTTGATTAAAATAAAAAAATAAATCAAATTAAAAAGATTAAAAACTAAGAACGAAAACATTTATAAAAATATAAACAAGTTTAATTTGCAGTGTGACAAATATGTTTTAAAGGATTTAAATTAGTATCTTGTTTTTCCTTATGGAAGTGATCGCTTTGCAAACCATACACAACTAAACAATCGGGTAATCGATAAGGTGTTTTTGTAACTCTACTCAAAATAAAAGAATCATAGGAAAGAAAAGGAAATGGTGGATCTGAGTGCAGATAATTAACAATTTAAAGTGGTAGTCGAGTATAAGGAAACGCCGAGTGCTCACTATGCGTAGATTTGTATATAGAAACTGCAGATTATTAATTCCTAAAAAAACCTCAAAGATATGAGGAGAGGAAAATGGAGTACTAAAAACCAAACTATTCCTGACGAAAGAATTAAGGAAATGTATTATGTTGAGGCCCACCTAATAATAATAATAATAATAATAATAATAATAATAATAGCCTCATTTATACGGCACCTTTAAAAATATATACTTAGAGCACTTTACATGAAAAGTAAAAAAAAACACAGTCAACACAAACAACAACAGTAACATACATAGGAAATAACAAAATTGGCATATTGAAACACAAGGGATTAGAAATGTAGCAGAAGATGCAAGACACATCAGTTACATAAAAGCCTTTCCAAAGAAGGTTTTGAGTCTGGATTTAACTGTGCTCTGGGTAAGTGACTCTGTGAATTCCAGAGATCTGGGGTATAATAAGAAGTCATCCATAGAATGTTAACAATGTTGGGGGACAAACCACAGACCAGAGTCTAATGAATGAAGATTGCAAGAAGAGGAGTTGGAAGATAAGAAGTCAGATACTGTAGGTATTGAGTTGCCATATAAAGTCTTATAGGTGAGCATGAGTCAACATGAAACCTGATAGGAAGCCAGTGCAGTGACACCAGGATAGGAGTAATGTGATCACTTGCACTCTACCTGGTCAGGATTCTGGCTGCCAAATTCTGTACATTCTGATGTTTGTTCAGTGTAGATTTAAATACCCCAACAAGTAGAGCATTGCAGTAATATATTCTGAAAAACACAAATTTTGTTGACCAGCTTTTCTCCTACAGTCAGAGACTATATAAGACATGGTCTGGCAATATTTCTGAAATGGAAGAATATTGTTTTTACAATATTTTGCACATGTGGGTGAGAGGTCAAGCAAGGATCAAATATCACCACTGAATTCATTAGTTGAGATTGAAACTCATGTACAGTGCCATTCAGTGATAGGCTTACTGCAGAGGTGCCGAGAAGCATCAGAAGACTGTCAGTCTTGACCCAGTATAAAGGAAATTTCGAGTCATCCAGGATTTTATGTAAGAGATGCAATTAGAGAGTAATAAACAAATACGTCAGTGTAATGTTGATTATGGACCTAGATTTGAGTACTGTATCATCGATGTAGAAGTGATAATTCAAGACCATGTGGTTTTAATTGCTAAAACTAGTAACTAGTTGGGAACTAGTAAATGTTGAATAGTTAGGGGCCCAGTATCGAGCTCTGACAATAGACTTACTGTAGGAAACTCAGCATCACAACTGAAAATCCCAAAAGAAACAAAGTGGCAGCAATCAGTGAGGTAAGACTCGAACTATTTAAGAACATGTCAGAGACACCAAACAAGACGAGATGAGAAAGCAGGATGTCATGGTTAACAGTGTCAAAAGCAGCACTGATGTCAAGAAGAGTAAGGACAGAAAGAGAACCGGAATCACTTGCCATAAAATGGTTGTTCATAACTTCAACAAGGGTAGTTTCAGTGCTTTGAAATCATCTGTACCCAGATTGGAGGGCTTTTAAGAGGTTGTTTGCAATGAGATGGATGAATTGCTACAACACATTCTAAAATTTATGAAAGATAAGGTAGGTTTCATAAAGGCTGATTTTCTTTTTAGATTGTCCAAAGCCATATTTGAAATCAATATTTGCCCATATTTGTAATGAGACAAGACATAAGTAAACCTAAGTTTCAGGACAAGCCTGATAATGACAAGATTCCCAATCAGGATCTTCTGGAAATTTGTTTAAAGTCTTCTCTCAGGGGAGTTACTTCTAGAGAATTTACTTTCCCTAGATGCACCACGTTTCTTGGTGTACACATTACAGATGACCTCACTTGGTCCCTCAATACCACCTCTCTGGCCAAGAAAGCACAGCAGCGTCTCTATTTCCTGTGGTGACTGAGGAGTGCAAACCTGCCCCCGCCCATTGTTACCACTTTCTACAGAAGCACCATCGAGAGCCCCTTGACCAGCTGTATCACTGTTTGGTTTGGGAATTGTAACGCTTCACACCGCAAGACCCTGCAACGAATTGTGGAAACTGCTGAAAAGATCATTGGAGCCTCCCTCCCTTCCATTTAGATAGATAAGACTTTATTGATCCCGATGGGAAATCGAAGTGTTACAGCAGCCCAGCCCAAGACGAGCAAAAACAGACATCAGAATAGACTAAAAATTCGAATAAGTACAGCAATACAAAATAAAATAGAGTTAGGTGTGTGCAAAATATGCTAATAGTCACTGTAAAACAATAAAATATGTGCAAAATCTGCATACAGTAGGTATACAGTAGGTATACAGTAGGTATATACAGATTGAAAGTACCACACTATAAATAGTATATTAATGCAGTGTCCAAAAAGTACATTAGTTCAATATGCTGTCCATACATGAGCAGATGAAGGGCTAACAGTCCTAGCCAAGGACAACGTTATACACCCTGACAGCCGCCGGGAGGAAGGACCTGTGGAAACGTTCGCTTGCACACCGTAGCTAGAGCAGTCTGTTACTAAAAGTGCTCCTCTGTCCTATAACAGTCCCAAGTAGTGGATGAGAGGCGTTGTTCATGGTGGCTGTGAGCTTGGTCCGCAATCTTCTCTCTGCCACCACTTCGAGGGGGTCAAGGCTCAGCCCCAAAACAGAGCCAGCCTTATGGATGAGTTTATTGAGTCTATTTAAATCTCTTGCCATGATGCTGCTGCCCCAGCACACAACAGCATAGAAGATAGCCACTGCCACCACTGATTGGCAGCGACTATCTGATTTCTGTAACCTATCACAAACGCTGATTACACAGGGCCCCCAGTATAGTAGATGACCCCTCACACCCCTCCCGTAAGCTCTTTGCCCTCCTACCATCTGGGAAAAGATTTCACAGTGTACAGACCAGCTCCACCAGACTCTGTAACAGCTTCTTCCCACAGGCAGTCAGGCTCCTCAACCCTGGAATCTACTAACACCCACCCCAATTCCAGAAACAGGGTTTAAATCCCCCCAGTGTGTTGTGTATATTGTATTATGTATTTGCCTTAGTAATTTGCACTATCTGCACTTTGCACTATGTGTATCCTGTCTACAATGTCTATGTCAGTGTCCTGTCTGTATTTACCACGGACCAGGAGGAACGATATTTCTTTCCACTGTATACTTGCACATGGCTAGAAAGACACATAAACATGAACTTGAGCTTGTCAGAATACTTCCATGTATTCACTGCCATGAGTGTAACAGTTCATGTTCATTGGGATTGGTATTGCTGGCCAGTCTGTCTGTCATGTATTTCTGCATCTTCAGAAATGTTGTTGGATCTGTTAGGACCACCATTTAAACAAAGCTCCAACCAGCAGTGACTGCAGATTGCAAAATGTAGAAAAAAGTTTGCTTGGCTTCTGTCAAGTCATGAAGATCCTTTTTAATACCGTTAATCTATCACTGCCACAACTGTATCTTCAAGAGACAAGGGCTCATTTTGCAGATCATTTTATGACTCATCAGAGAAGGCAAAAAGGCTCCAGTGCTCTATATTCAGAGTTGTTTGTGCAGTGTGCCAGTCTTATTCTTTCCTTTGATTCTGTGGCTAGAAAGCAATGGAGATGTTGTTTTACATTGTAATGATCCCATGTCAGTGTATTCAGTTACTGATTGTTTCATTGAAACAGAGCATCAGGTAAGTATGCAAATGCTTTAAGGCATTTCAACAGAAATCATCAAGAAATCTTCTGCATGGTCATAAGAAGCACCATTACTCTTGATGATGTCAAAGATCATATCAGTTCATTGCATTTAGTGGTCTCTAAAACTGTACAGTTCACCGAAGTGAATGTGCTTGTTCACTTTGGGTTTCTTGAAATGACTCACTGTTTCCTCATTCTGCCATTCTCTTGAATTCTGTACTTTGCAGAAATTAGGCTAATTCTGCACAGATGCTATCTTTAAATTTTTGAGTTATTGGTTTCTATGCCAGCCTAACCTTTAAGCTATTTTGGTGTGTATATAAACAGCCTAAACACTAGATTGTCCATGTCCCACAAAGGAAATCAGGAGGTATTTTGCAAACATTAGTCTCTATAATGTCTATACATAACTTCTAATTTTTAAAGACAAATAAAGCCTGAGCAGTGAATTGATCTTTTTTGGAACCATAAGCAAATTGTTTTATACAAGGTATATAAGATTTTTAAAAAGGGAGTTAATAAAAAATAGCTGAGGTTTCTGACACTGAATGTTCATTGTGCCATTTCTAAACCTCCAATATAGCATCCAGTCAAAGATAGATATTAAAATCTGATGACTACAACATGAATTATAACTCCTTGATGCCCACCTGAAGTGGATTTCCATCGTCTTTAAAGAGACTGGGCCTAATGACCTACAGACAAGCTCAGATACAGTGGAACAATATTATGATGCTTTGTCAGAAGCAGCTAACCCTGCCCATCAGAGAAATCTAGAGAACTGTAATATAGGAATTCAATTAAAATACATTGAAATACACTGGAGTTTAATATCAGAATAAAATAAAAAAAATTAAATGTATTTAATCTGCTTTTAAATGTATTACCACCAAATGCCCTTCACATGTGGGAAAGACTTCTGTTTGTTAACAGTCACCTTGTATGTCCTTCTGCCCTTCTATGTCCTTCTGACACTTCTGCCCCTACTATACACAATTCAAACTGCCTCTGTAATAATAATGTTGACTGGTCCTTTGTCATTTCTGATACACCACTTGGACCTTGGTTCTAAAAGAAAAGATTTCATTTCACCTTTAGAGCATCAGTGTTTACTTATCTGTCTTCAGAGACATAGTAGTGGTATTTTTATACCACATTGCTGCTGTTGTAAAGCCATTATCCTCATTTCTCAGAGCTTGGAGTGGGTCGAGGATAAAACAGAAGCGATGATATTGTAGCTGCCGTGTCTACAAGCCTGGACATTTTGGGCACTGAGTCTCTGGAGTGGATCCTGCTCTATGGCTTGTGGTCCCGCACAAGATGACAAAAGGGGTGAAGGGGTGCTTCTTTCAAGAAATAAAGGCATTGACTTTCATGGCAGGAGTTTTCACATCTGGCTCATTTACAGTATAAAGCCATCCCTCACATGCTCCTTGTTAAAAACTAAACTAAAGAGCTGAAGGGATATTTTAACAACAATTTTTCTGTTGCAAACCTAATCTAATGTGTTTTATGACAGCAGAGAAATTTAGACTTGCAAGTTGTCAAACATTTTGTATTATCCTATGTCTATATAAAGGTGCTATTGATTCTTTACTAAATAAATTAATCACTCCACACAGAATGCAAAGGATGCAAAGGTGGATCCAAATGCAGATGAGAATACTGGGAAGGAGTTAGGTGACAAGACTTACAAAACATGGCAGTAGTCATAAGACAAGATGAAATAGGTAGAACATTACAATTCTAATACAACAAACAGGGAGGGTACTGAACTATAATGCGGTTATTCACATACTGTAAGATAAGACAAACCTTATGCTTGCAGGTATTGCTAAGCTTGGCTGGCTAAAACGTTGGCTTCAAGACCAGTCTTGAAGACTCAGTCTTGACTGAATGAGAACCCATTGAAACTGCTTGTTTCATTGTGGTATGATTAGGAAAGAGAATAATAGATAATAACTGACTTCGTTTCTAGCTTTCATAATGAGGTTGTTATAAAATGCTGAATAACATCAAAGAATAAAAAAAAACTAATTAAAGATAATATTAAAAATAACTACTCTTTTCCAGAAATCATAGCATATTTCTCTACCTCTGTCATATGGAAAACATAACAGACTATGTAGGCTTTTACAACACAAAATAATGAAAATTTACATTTAGAAAACATTAACAAAATAAAACATTTTTACTGCAATATCACACGTTACACCTGTTATATCCCTGTTATAAGTGCTGTAGACATTTAAATGTTATTAATACATCTATGATATACAGTATACCTGTTAAGATTGGTGGAGTGACCAAATTTCATGGAAGGTAGTGCATTTGTCATTCAATCAATCAAAGTGTGTGTTGTACAACTCAACAATATTACCTTTTCATAATTCATTATTATTATGATAAAGGTCACTTTTCATATCTTGTGCATTCCTCAGCATTATTTAATCCTGCTGGAAGTTTAGAATGGGTGTGAAAATGTGGTAGATGTCTAATTAATTTATTTTTTTAGTTCATCTTGAGGCCAATATCTTCATAATCATGTTGCACAATTAGTTTTTCTGATGTTTAGTTTTTCTGCTGGGAACAGTGTATGAATATGCGATAAAAAATAGATCATGCCGAGAGTTAATTAATTTATCAGGACACATTTCATACCGTATATGTACATTAGTGCATGTCTGCAGAGTAAACCACATTGAAGTGCTTTATTTTGCATTCTAGAAATCCAACAATTTTGTTTTCTCACTCAGACTGTCCTGTGGATCTTTTCTTTGTACTGGATACATCTGAAAGTGTGGCCTTGAGGATCAAACCTCCAGAATACTATATCAGCCAGATTACAGGTTTCACTGTGTCTTTCATCGACCAGCTACAACAAAGGTATCTATTGAATAGTGTTTTTTATCTCGGAGTATTTATGTATGTAAAACAACATATAAAACAAAACAGAATGCTGCTAAAAATGAAACTGAAGCAATTGTGTGATTGCTAAGACCAATTTCGATGATTATAAAAAGAGGGCATGTTATACCTTCATCCATAACAGCTCGTGTACTTGGATAGGCTGTTGTTCATTTTCCCAGGCTGCCTGTTCTGTGGCACACTGCCCCACATAAGCTCCGGCTCTGAGTGAAGCTAGATGATCAATTATTATTAAGGCTCATTAAGGTATCAATAGGGGAATGGAGATTGTTTGGGTCTTTGCAAGTACTCATTTTTAGTTGTGCATATTTTAAATTGGGTATATTGCATTTCATTTAAATTATCAGTAAGATCAAATCAAATATATGTATTTTTAATAATTATTGGGATTTTGTAGGGCTTCCTTGAACTGATTTGTGTTTATATACCTTCTTCCAAAAACTTTCTCATCATCAGATTTATGAATTCTCATAAAAAATGTATAGAGCTCTTCTGGGGAAGATATATACTCTATGTTATGAAAGAGGCACACTAAATACTGTCACTTCAGGAATTTTGGGTTTGTTGGTATCATGTTTATCTGCCAAGGTTGTAAAGCTCTTTTAAACACATTTTAAATGTATAAGTTGCAGGTATTCATCTTGCTAAATAAGGGGTTTATCAGATGAAATAGAATGTCAGGATGTTTGTGAATAATCTTTTTAATCTACATTCAGTCACATGCTTATCATGCAGGGTGGCAAAGTTTTCCAGCCATTTCCTTAATGGTTATATCATATTACCTCTGATTTTAATGCAATAGACATCTGTGCCTTTAGAATTATAGCTACTCTAAAAGGGCTGTGGCATTCTAGATTGTATGAGAACTGCCCAGCTGTAGGGACTTTTGAAAAAATGTTCTACTGTATGTCTGTTAATGCTGATGTGTTGCTGCCAGTTTCTACCGCTGTGATCGGAATCTGGTGTGGAATGCTGGAGCCTTACACTACAGCGATGTAATAGAAGTCATTCAAGGACTCAGCTCAATGCCGAGTGAAAAATCGCAGCTGAAGCAAAATGTGAAGAACATCAAATACATCGGGAAGGGCACCCACACTGACTGCGCCATCAAGAGTGGTATTGAAGAGCTGCTTATTGGGTAAGTGGCTGGCAAATGATTGTTATTCTATAACCAATTCCAGTTCCAACAAGTCTTTGTGTGTTTCTATCTCTCAGCGAAGAAGAAGGTTTTAAGACTGGATTTGAAAGAGCTTAGGAAAGGTGATTCTCTGATATCCTTAGGGATACAGTTCCAGAACTTTGAGGTGTTACGGGAGAAGACTCCTTCACCCACAGGGAGTAGATTGGCTTTGAGAATAGATAGGAGTTAGAGAGCAAAGGTTGCGAAGTAGGGAGTAGGACGATAGTAGCTCAGACACATACTGATATGCCAAGCTAGGCAGAGCCTTTTGGTGAGCATGAGGATTTTGATTAATACTGGAGTTTGTTCAATGTGGCTTCTGAAACCCCAGCAATTAGAGTGTTACATTAGTCAATTCAGGAGAAGACAAATGTGTTGATCAGCTTTTCAGCAGCAGTTAGCGGTAACATAGGACATAGTCTGATGATATTTCTGAGGTGAAAGAAAGATGTTTTGACAATATGTTGCACATATGATTCATGCGTCAAGCCTGAATCAAATATCACCCCCAGGTTTTTCAATTTTCACTGAAGCTCAAGTATAGTAGCATCCACAGATAAGGTTACAGCATTGGCTTTACAAAGTTGATGGGGGGTTCTAATAAGCATGACTTCAGTCTTATCGCAGTTTAGATTAAGGAAAGTTTGAGTCATCCATGTTTTATGTCAGAGATTCAATTAGAGAGAATAGAGCAGCCACATCAGTGTCAGGTTTAGTATGGATATAGATTTGAGTATCATCAGAAGAGAAATGATCATTTAGACCATGCGGTCTTAAAAGTTGACCAAGGGGAAACATATAAATGCTGAAAAGTAGGGCGCCCAGTACTGAACCCTGAGGAACACCAGTCTTAACAAGTCCAATTTCAGAGCTGAATCCGCCAAGAAAGACAAAGTGACAGTGATCAGTGAGGTAAGACTTGAACCATTTAAGAGCAATGTCAGTGATTCCAAACACCATCTCAAGATGAGTAAGTGATATATCATGGTTAACAGTGTTGAAAACAGCACTGATATCCAGAAGAATGAGGAACCAGAATTTAAGCTATTAGAAAATTGTTAGTGACTTTGACCAGGGCAGTTTCTGTGCTTGAAGTTGTCAGAAACCAGATTGGTGGGGTTTGAAAAGGTTATTTGCGATGAGGTGTTTTTAGAACTGATTTGCAGGAACGCGTTCTAGAATTTTTGCAAGAAAGGGTTAGGTTGATGAGGCAAAAATTGTTAAGATTTTCTAGAGCTATGTTTGGCTTTTTCACACAGGGCTCATGGTAGCAGTTTTGAGGACCATTGGTACATCACAAGTGTTCAAGGATTCATTTATTATATTGAGTACAAGGGGGCAGAGAGTAGTAAAACTGGATTGAAATAAAGTGGTGGGGATGGGATCTAATAGGCAGGTGGTGAATTTCATATGCAAAACCAATTTACTAATGGAGACAGAGTCAAGAAGAGAGAAGTTGGAGAGAAGGAAACCAGTAAAGTTAGGCAAGCAGGGAGGATGTGACATGCATTGTGGAGAGAATGTAATGCCAGATGTTGTCAATCTCAGAGCTAAAGAAATCTAAAAACGTGTTGCAAAGTTGCGATGAGGCAAGTAATGTGGCAGGGCAGTTTGGAGATGTTATAAACAGGTAATTCTAGATTGAAGAGAATAGTTAAGTGATCAGAGGCCTTGTTTGTGGGAAGAAAAATGAGAAACAATTGAGTCATTCTCAATAATTAAATCAGTTATTAATTATTAACACCTTTGTTGTGTGTTGGGCTAAGAACAAACTGGGTTAGATGAAAGCATTCCAACAGAGCTAAGAAATCCTTAACTAAATTGAAAGACCGTAAGTCAATACTGTATGAATATTAAAGTCACCAGGAATAGGGATCCTCTTAAACCTAAGTATATTGGCAAACTCACCTAAAAAGGCTTCATTAGGTTTCGGGGGTCCAAAGAGCATGGCGATGATAGTAGAGTGGGGAACGGAGACAGAGATTTCAAGAGAAGAGAGCAGAGGTACAGAGGTACAGTTACAGGACTTAAGCTGTACAGGAGGTTGTAAATAACAATAATGCCCCCACCTCTACCCATGAAACCATGGAGGTCAAACAAGCCGTACCCTGGGGGACTAGTTGGTTGAACAGGAGACCATTATTTTGTCTGTGCCAGGTTTCGGGTAAGCACAGAAAGTCATGTTTTTTTTTTTCTGTAATAACCTCACTTTAAGAGCCTTATTATTCGTAATGTGGGCCAGAGGGCAGCGGAGTGGGTTCCACGCATGGTAGAGAGAGAGTAAATTTTTTAGGTCAGTGCCAATGCGGGATGATCTTGCAGCCTTGCACCGAGAGGCAGGGATAGTCACTCCACAGGTGGACGAAGGAATGAAACAGCATCCCGTGCTGCAGTGAATGTAATGTGTTGGTCGCAGGATCCCAATATTATGGCAGTAATCATATCTGGTTCTTTCAAGGAAATAATTAAGTTTCAGTTATCTTAGCTGCTGTGAGGAGTGCCTTAGAAACATTTTGGTGGAATTTTATTTTTGGCACATAATGACGATGCTACAAAAACTTGGAAGGAAATGCTGAATCAGGGCAGTAGGAGGTGGTTAAAAAGTCCTCAGTTGAACAATTCCAGCGGTGAGTAGTCGGCAGTAGAATCAGTCACTGTGGAAGTCCGTTCGTAGAGCAATTGCACCATGAAGGGGTTACCATAGATCAGGGGTGCCCAACCTTTTTTAATGTATGATCTACTTTTTCATTTGCCAGTCCAGCGCCACCTAACAGTGTGAATCTGAAGCTCTGATATAGGAAAAACAGATTGTGGGCACATCAGAACAAAAACAATACCCATCACTAAAATATTCCCCATTTTAGAAAAAAGAATATCCTACCTTAATGTGAGCAATGGCACTGAGAAGCTTACTTGAGAACACTTGTAATTGTTTTGAACATGTTGACACTTCTGATCATGTCGAGGACATTTCTATTTTGTCACTGCAGCTCGACATTCAGCTCATTCAGCAGTTCAGTCACGTCTGTAAGGAATGCTAAGAACCCACTGGTCATCCTCTAATTGGGCATATTCACCATGTTTAGACAACTTGAGAAACTCTTTGATTTCAGGCTGTCTGAAACTTGCTGTCTGAACCTTGCCAAAACTGTTTGTTTTTGAAATCTCCAAACATCAAGTCAGCAGCCTCAGCAAACACTTTTTTAATTACTTCTCGATCCCTGAATGACTTTTTGCGTTTAGCCAGGACATGGCTCACACGGAACGATGCGATGATTGCCGCTTTCCCTCTTGTATTAGGCCTTGTGAAAACCGACTGCTTCAAGTTGAGATTTTAATTTTTCCACTTTTCTTTTCTGTTACTCACTTTTAGTGGATGTCCACATCACACGTTTTGTGTGCAATTTTGAAATGTTGTTCTATATTTCCCTTTTTCGCTAGCATTGCAGATTTGAATGCAAAAAATAATCATGCTCCCATTTATGGTAACAGTAAGTTTTTGGTCTCTTTGCTTCATTTCTGTTCAAGCACTTCAACTATCAATTAGGCAATCAAACTTATCAAACTGTTTGGCGAATTTGTCACGGTCTGTTTCGCTCCACTATGCACTGTAGCAAATGTGGGGTTGGTGCGGCAATAGCCAACAGAAAGTTCTTGGGTAGCGAACACAACACTCTTCATTTACGGAGCTCCTGTAGCCCTTTTTCCAGTGTCAGCCAGCACTCAGGGAAGAGACTTTTACAACCCATTCGACAAGGGTTAAACACACACAAGTGCAGTAAAATGTATGGCATTACATGCACAGAATGAATTTTTAGGCTATCGAAAAAAGTGAATAGTCAAATAGCCCATTTATTTTTTTGCCAAACATTCTTGCGATCGATCGACTGGCAAGCACTCTGCGATCGACTGGTAGATCGCGATCGACTGATTGGGCACCCCTGCCCGTAGATGGTTATGTATGTAGGGGAAGAAAAAAATACAAACAAAGAAGACAGAGAAAAAGGGAAATAAAGGGAAAAAACTATAAAAAGTAAATAATAAAAGAATGAAAACTTGGGTGGATATATAAAAGTTTAAACCCAGTTGTTGGCCATGCTGCCTATATTGAATTTGCCAGGGTACGTGCAGATCCATCATATTTTTAAGGGTTCTCCCAAGTGTTTACAAGTACAGAGCACTTCAAAAAGGGAAATCAAGGGAATTTGTCTGAGACAAATAATTCCATTCCCTGGAATAAATAATGAAAAGTGCTAGACTTTTTTGACATTGGTGTCACCAGTAGAGAGAAACTTTCTGTGATCCCAAAGATGCGTAATGAACTGTGTAAGTCCTGACTCCATCTTTAGCCTGTATTATGACCAAACTGACTAGGAAGCCAACTGCACATCATATAGGACAAATAATTAGACTGACTATGAATTTTGAAGGATATTATTTCTAAATAATGCAATTGGTTATTATGGTCTTGTGAACTTTCAATGTCATCATTTGAAAAAACAAAAGGAAGGAAAGTACTTATTATATTAGATATAGTATATCTTGTAGCTCAGAATGAAAAGAAAACCCAAAGAGATTAAAACTGATGTGTGATTGTACTTCATGATGGACTTCCCATATTTTAAAAACATGCAGTAGAGTCAACATGTATCCACTATGCAGCACAACAACAAGCACAGAATGTATGAGACAGACAGATGTACATACAAGCCTTGTCTGATATGTGAGGGCAAGCAACATCATACAGGACCTGAAACAGACACAGATGCAGAGGCTAGATTGTTCGTGAACTTCATCAAGTTTTTTAAGGTTGATTTTATCACTTCTGTTTAAATGGTGTATAAATTGAATATTGACAACATCAGTCCCCCTATACAAAAACACTTCTTTTGAAGGTGTTTTTATGATTTTTTAAACCATGGCTAGTATTGTGTCAGTCAGCACTTTATGGAAAGTACTGCCATTAACCTGAAGGGCAAGTTCCATATTAAAAGCTTTAAAGAAGGATCTCATACTGTATATTAAGCTGGTGTAAATTATTTAAACACATTGTCATGAGAAATAATATATTTGTAAGCTGTTCTATTACTTCCATCATGTGCAGTCCACCATTTTGGATTAGCTGCATTTTCACTATCCTATAGTACTTATCATTTCAGCTTTAATTCCATTCATTTAAACTAGATTTTTGGCAGAACCTTAAATAAATAAGAATTTTTCAACCAGTATTCTGTAAAACAACTTTCTAAGCTCACTCCTATGGAAATAATAATATTTGAGCGAGTTTATTTTAAATTTGGCAGTAGACATTTGATGCAGCTGAACATTGTTAAATAGTTAGAACAGTACAGGTAACAGACATGTGTTGCACACCAACTCACGGGAAGATTGACAGTTGTCAATACAGTAATCCTTATTGTATGATCCTGTATGAGAAACTACTATACATAACTACTATACTTACTATATGTAAGGGTTCATTTAAGCGAGATGTGGTAATTCCTGTGATTAAACAAGTGGATTTTGAGTCTTACGAGCTGGGCTCTCTTAAAGCATTTCCAAGATTCTTCTTTTCTCACATTTTCTCGAATGAGGAATTTACATTTTAATTTTTATTGTAATTTAACTTTGTTCTGACAAAGACTTGTGTGTGTCAAGTGCATATATTACAGTATAGAACCTCATGTTTATACATTTGCTAATAACTATAATGATGTAAATACTGTATTGGATCATAAATGAGAAAGAGTGTTAGTTTATGCATCTACTGTACTAATGACTTTAAGCATGTTACTCAAATAATTAACCAGGAATGATATTGTTTTCATACTAAGATATCGTTCTGTATTAAAGTGAAGTTTGACTGTTTGAAGGAATATTTGTGAGTTCTGGATCCAGTTGAAGATTATAACACAGAAATATGGGAATTTAATGTCTGTTATCCAAGTTTTCACCTTATGAGCAGTTGTTGAGGAACAAATTAAGCTCGTATAAGAAGGGAATACTGTGCTTATTCTTTGCATCTCTGGGTTTCTACCACATTAAATCAGAGCCTAAAAGAAGTGTATTTGTGTGCCATGGGGCAGGGGGTCTCATCATCGAGAGAACAAGTACATGATTGTGGTGACTGATGGACATCCCCTTGAAGGCTACAAAGAGCCCTGTGGTGGCTTGGAAGAGGCTGCCAATGAAGCAAAACACCTCGGAATAAAAGTGTTTGCTGTGGCCATCTCACCTGATCACCTGGTATGGATTTCATATTGTATATTTGGGTGAAGTGGTGTGGAAAAATACACAGACTTATACAGACTTATACGAAAATATACAGACTTCTTACCATTTATTATTGTTTCAGACTTCTACAACAGATAAAACATTAATAATTTGTAGAGAATGTTCTAAAAATTCTATTTTTTAACTTGTCTTTCCTGTAGATATTGATTTTTTTGTCTGTTGAAGTTAAAGTCTTATTTTTTTCTAGGTTCAATGTATGCTTAAATTATTCATATATTGTTTAGAGTCATAGCTGCAGTGTCAATATGGAAGCTCCTCGATTTCAGATTAAAATGTTTTTATTAACTATACAGGTATTATTATTAAATACGTTTTTTAATTTCTGTAATGTTACTGGGTACAGCTGAACGAGTAAGCATTCCAATACACTTGTTGTATATGTCAAATAAAGAAATCTTGAATCTTTAATCTTCATAATGTTACTGAAAAAAAAACTTAAAAATACAATAAAAAATATTTTAATTGATCAGGAGCTTAAATAAGATGATAAAGTGACCTGTTTACTACTATACAGATAGTTTAATTCTACCCATAGGTTATATAGCTTTACATTCAACGCTCTTTATTTTTGTGCAGGAAACAAGGCTCAACATTATTGCAACTGACTACCACTACAGACGGAACTTCACTGCAGCAGGTCCCATAGGTTCCCCACTACAGGATCAAAAAGATACAATTAGAACCATTATTGACACCATGGCAAGTATTGTTTTGTCCTTATCCCAAACAACAGTATAGTTTTTTGTTTTAAAAAAACACGATTCTCAGGTGTAGGCTCTGTACCACAAAGCAGAAAGCCAGAGGTTTTAAGGATTTACCTCAAATAGTTGTTTCTGGCAGTGTCTGAACACTTGTTTTTCACTGGGTATTTAATAATATCCTTTGTTTTTGCTTACTGAACATACAGCTCTTTGTGCTTAAATGTTACCTGGTTTTATGTTCATTCATGCGTCATTATGAAAAAATGGTAGAATATTCTCATTATATGTGCTTAGCATATGGTTTTAAGAAGAGCACTATATAACAAGTATATCATTTAATTTGCCACATTTCCCAACTACTGTATGAATCAGACGTTTTTTAGTTTAAACCCTACTTTCTCATTTAAAGGATTCTTTTTGATACACTGAATGAAAGTGTCAAAGTACTCCCTGGTTTAAAAGAGAAACAGATGAATGCAAGGATCCAAGAGTAATATACAAGGCATGTGTAAGCATTAAATTGCTAATTATAACTTTGTCATGCTAATTTTTTCTTTCTCTTGTTATTTTAGGTCAAGGAGTCAGAACAAGTGGTATGTCTTAACTTTTCTTTTTAACAGTGTCCCTTACAATATTTGCTTTATTCATTGTTTTTCTAATGTGTTGTGTTCTCTTTTCTCTTTGCAGTGCTGTTCCTTTGAGTGTCAGGTACGTTCTCTTACTTGGAAAAATGACTGGTCTTTTCTCTTAAGCTAGAAACTATATGAACTTTGTTTCCCTGCCCAAATATCACTGAACAAATAGAAGTCAATCTTTAAATAATTTACCATATGGGTGTCGGACTCAGGATAGCATTGAATTACTGCTGCAGTGTCATAGTGTATTTTGATTTTGTCCTTGTGCCAGAAAAAGACCTTGACCCACTGTAGCCCTGTCTGGTCTGTCATTCTGCTGGCAGTGACTAAATCACACCCTGTGTATAACAGTGCTCAGTGCACTGTGTTCTCCATCCACTTCTAGAGTAGATGGACATATCTTGGGATGACGAGTATGGAAAACTGCTCCACTAAGTGATCTTAAATGTCAGCAAAATCAAAGTATGTATATATAATGCATTAAATATTAATTGAATTTTACAATAAAATTAACATGTTTTGTACTTTATCAATGTAATGAATCTTCTTATTGAATAGTCTTGCTTATCTTAAATCTGTATGTATTTACTTTACGAGCATGTTATAAAAGTGACATCTTCAAGACAGTGTTGGACTCTCCTGAGGACCTGGTCATTTTATGTACTGGAGCTCACTGTCTAGGGAGTGGCTCTATACAGTATACCCTGGCTAAATGTATCCAGATATGTACTGAGCTTGTCAGAGAGTGAGATCAATTCCCAGCAAAGGCTTAGCAAAGGCTCAGATACAGCACACCTGTCATGTGTTGAATAGTCTAGGTGCGTTAGCAGGTACTAACACTTTATTGTAATTTGTTTTTAGCCACAAAGAGGCACTCCTGGAAATAAAGGAGAGGAAGGATTTCAGGTGAGTGCTTAAAGTACAAGAATATTTTTAGCAGAATGAGTGTTCTGCAATACCTTAAAAATCTTTCCATGTTCCCTGAATGCCCAAACCTATTAAAATATAACAAAAATGTTGTGTTTTATGGCAACCAACAATGTCCATATTGCTGAATTCTCTTTGATTCCTTGTTAAATTTGGAAAGTCATATTAGCTGTTGCTGAATTACTTCTTTATTGTCCTATGTTAATGGCCTGGAACGTTTGTGCTATGTAGACTGATCTCCTTGATTAAACAGATTTGGCCGATTTTATGGAATATCAATTATGCATAACAATACAATTTGCAATAATAGCATTTATGACTGATAGTTCTATCCAAGGAATCTCATAATAAAAGATAATATTATAATATATCTAATTAAACATGATTTAATTATAAATTGATTGAAGAAATCCATAGTGCTTATAATCAGAACATCAGAAACCTAATGCTTAATGTCAGAGGGGACCAAGCCTGGAATGCAACATGATGAAGCACATCATACAGTTATACAGTTATGTAGTAAAGAAAATAAGTGCTCAGCCAAAGCTGATAAAAACAAGTTTACAGGTCATAGGGAAGATTTAAATTGTAGAAATGCAGTAGAAATTATGCATTTTATGTGAGTTGAGATAAACAGCAGATGTACTGATGTGTCCTTCTTCACCAGGGTGAGTCAGGGAGGTCTGGACTACCTGGAGAGAAGGGAGACGTAGGCGAAGCGGTAAGTAACACTCCTACCCTTTCTGTCTTTCCTGCTGTAAGGCACTGAGTGCCTGGGATGGCAGTAGTCCCTCTGGAGAAAAGCAAGTGTTCCTGAGGAAATACAGTAGTGCCAGTAGTGCATTATACCCCAAAAGTGTGCCCTTCTGTTGGGGTGGGACAATTCCTCTGTCCACTTCTAGTTCTAACATATTGTTGGAAAGAGTGTATGGAACACTGCTGCACTATATAACTGTTTTAAATGTTAGCTAAATAAAAGTATGCATGTACTGTATAATAATATATTAAATATTAAATTAACACCTGAATTATGCAATCAAATTAAAATTGTGTACATTTTATACTCTAAAAATGTAATGAAGAAATAAATAGAATAAATACAATCAAATAAATATACATGCTTATCTTAAATATTTATGTGCACTATGTACCAAATGCCATAATGAAGTCCTCTTGTATATATTAATGTTATTGGTAGGGTTATGTTAAAATGCTTATTTTGAATCCACATTTTGACAATCCAAAATGCAAGAGGTTTTCCAATTTTGAGTTATCTTCACTTTTTTAACTAATACCACAGACATGACCTACAATTGTGCAAACCACTCAACCAATTAGCAGGTAGTAAAGCCTTATTAAACAAAACAATAAGCATTTTATTTTAGAAGCTTGAAAGAATAAAGGACTGACCTTCATCCATGACTTTCATGGACATTATCATTTTTATTTAATTAATTAACCTCATGTGTGACATCAGGTCCATCTGTTGGTCACAGAGGAAGTATAAGCTGCAGAAGAGTGTAACAGATCTTATTGTGTATAATGAGCGTATTGCACATATACTGTCATAACTTACGCTGCTTTCTCAAGAGTATTGAAACTCTTCAAATTAGACCACAGGTCTTTAGGCATACCACTAACAGGTTTGCTGCACATTTGGATTTTGTAGATCAGGCATTTTTAGTAAAGCAACATTTTGAACCTTTTTAATGACTGTGTAAGCTAAAAGAAGATATAACCTTCCTTGTCATTGCTGAATGAGCTAATCATAGGAAGGAAGTGGGCTTTCTAATTAAACAGGCTAGGGCCTGAATTCACGATTACATCAATTAACCAGCCAATTGCAAATTAACGATTTTCTGCTTGACAGGAGATTGTCCTGCAATGATAGTTTTTAATGTATATTAGATCGTGAAGTGGATTTTTGGATTTATTCCTAGATCAGGGCTATGATTCTTTTCTTTCTTGAATATAAGAAATTAATTGTGATCAGTTACATTTTTGCTATCACTTTGTCTCTCTGTTTATTTACAGGAACAAACTAGGACAACCTTAGCCTTTATTTGCAGTAATCCATAGCTGTTCATTAAACTATCACTGTTGAACTATTTTCCTGTTTGTGAGCAAACCAAGAGTGGTTCAGTAATGTATGTGGACCTGAGTAAAAATAATGTCGCTTTTTATAAGAGCAGTAATACATTAATTAAATTTTGTTAATTGAATCTTAACAGGGAAGACCTGGTGATCCTGGACCAATTGGTTATCAAGGCATGAAGGTATGTTTTAATTCATTGTTCTATGATATATAGTAAAAGTAAAACTGTTTCCAATGCACAACAAAGACAAACAATAAGAAAAAGAACAGAGCTTAGCATCCAAAAAGAGACACAACTGGACATACTGTACTGTAAGGTGGTATTATGTAAAATAATAAATACTTTGAAAAATATTTTAAAATATAATCGAGAATATATTGTAAACAGAGAGACACAAAGTCATTCTGTAACAACAATATGTTAATTTGGATATATTAAGAACTTCTGATTATTTCTTTTACAGGGAGACAGAGGTTCCCGTGGTGACAAGGTAAGTACTGTGCAAATATGTAAATGTCTGTGTTTCACAGTTTAAGTAAAACATTTGGATTACTTGGTTAGGCATAGAATAATAATACTATATGGTGCAAAAAATGATAGTTAATTCTTCTGCCATTTCAGAAGTCTCAAAGCACATCTTTTACATCTTTCCAGTTTGATACAAATAGCAAATGAGAACTTGACATTAGAAAAAGGTCCTTGTGGCACAGTGGTACTGAACTGTCTTCACTGTTTTTGCTTTTCTTCTCCAGGGAGAAAGGGGTCCCAAGGGCTACAAAGTAAGTAATGTGCATCTTAAGTCCTGCTTACACATGCTGTTATGTCTTTTTTTTCATTTACCCATTAAATGTCAATCAACACCCTCTCTTGTTTTGATTATTTAGGGTGACAAGGGGAGACATGGAATTGATGGAGTCGATGGCGGAAAGGTCAGTAATCTTATGAGTTTGTTTGCCCTGGCATCAGCTGACATGGCAAAAATGAATATACTGTACTGGAATGGCTTCTTAGCACAGAACTCTACTATCAATAGTAAATAATATCTCTTTTAATTTCTTGCTGCTCAATTTGTACTACATATACGGCATGAGATGAAAAACAGCTTTTTGCAATGAAATGAGAAAGCAAACACAAATGCCTTAGTACAGGTTTTCACCCAATATTTTTTAAGAAGAATTTTTATATTAAAATCTCAGAACATTACAGATGATCCCTGTTAGAAGTCTCCCTCTTGTACAGAGTTTCACACAAATCTTTCCCACGTTTAAGTCACCAGTTGTCCCAGGATATTTCCACTTTGGATTTTCCATTTGCAATAGTTATAACTATTTAGTAGTTATAATACAGTTAACAACAGTTAAAATGCTGAAATAGAGAGTAAGGCTATGTCACGGACGTCCAAAGGGACTAACCGTGGGGAGCAGGTGAGTGAAAAAACACCCATATGCGTAGCGGCGAGACGGGAAAAAGACCCAGGCTCATTAGTGCAAAGAGTTCAGGAATGCCATATAGAAACCTATGCCCTCAGGGAGCGGACGTGGGGCACCCTGGTGCTAGGCGGATCTCAGGACATCCGGACGACAATGCTGAGCCAGGACAGAGTGAAAGACCCGGAAATATATAGCCCAAGAGAAAGAGAGGGACCGGAAGGACAGCAGACAGGAAACTAGGGACAGGACAGAGAAGGAGCACCCTCTGGCTGCAGAGGGTGTGACAGGCTAAGCATACTTTAAATCATGCAGAAGTAAAAATATCTCAGCACAGGAGTCAGAAAATGGAAAAAATGAACAACTGCCATCATTATGAATTGAAAGTCTCCAAAATCAAAACTCTGATCAGCTTAGCCCTCTTTTGGGAAAAAGCCAAAAGCTTGTACAATGACCTACAAAAAGTAGTTGGGAAAATAAGACACTTCAATGAAAACAGCTTAAGTAAGAAATTGTGTTAATGTTGTAAAGCTCCAAAGAGTCTTGATGTCAGTTGACGTTTTCTGAAACCATAGCAAGTTATTGAGCATTAAAAGTGTCTCTGTTTTTTACAACAAATACTTTTTAATAGTTATATTAATAATAGTGTTATAATACAGTGCTTTCCTGTGTGTGTCATTGCTCATAAATATATAAAATAGCTTATATTATATAAAGGAAAATGATTTAAGGACATGGTAAATATGGGTACCTGTTCTTACTGGAGAAATAATCACCTTAATGTCCCTAACCTCTGGTATTTACATGTATTCTTATGGGGGAGAATTCCCCATTGTACATTGTTTCACTTAAAGTCACTACTTTTCTAGTAACATATACCCTAACATATAATTGGGACTCACTGAACTATTGTCACTGGTTTCATTGTTATTTATTGGCTTTTTGTTTTCATAATCATATACAAGAAAATGTTGCCTTTATGTTAGAGGACAATATATCCCATACCTCAATTTCCAAATATACTTTGCTTCTAAAAAAAGAGCCATAAGATGAAAATTTGTAAACAAAAACCTCAATTTACGTGTAAAACCTTCGGATTTGTTCTGAAGGTCTTATTTCATACCATGACAGAGCATTGAAAATCAAAGTAAGAACACTATTGTTTGTTTATGATAAAAACCCTAGTCATCATTGTACTGTATTTAACAAGATATACGACCAGATAAAATGTGTGAGCATTCTATGGCAATTCCATTTGTAGAACACATGTGAAAAAACAGGTTTAAAAATCCAAGCTGTGTTATAGCAAAAAATCATAAACTAGGTGTCCAGGAATCAAGGGAAGGCTGGTTTATATTCCTAAAGAACTGATGAATGGTCACAAAAGAGAGAAGACCATAGGATGCAAATAGCTAATGGATAAGCATACAGTATCATCCATCTATTTGTAGGATCCTAGGAATCTACTTCAGCAGCATACAGTAGTCCTTCTGTAAGAAAGGTTCACTAAAAATGTTTATGTGAAGAAAATATATGGCATATTTTGTTGGATTCCAGTTGGTTTCACTCATATAAAGAAAGACAAATAACTGATATTGATTTATATTCAGCATGTGAGTTTTATCCATAGAATTAATATTTTAATAAACATATCCATGGTGAATAGATATTTTTCTTTTCAGGGTGAGGCTGGATACCCCGGACTTTCTGGATGCAAAGGATCTCCGGGACCTGATGTACGTCAGTGTGTTTAAATACATACAAACATAAGAATGGTGACAGGAGAGCCACGTTGCCCATTTGGTAGTTAGTACCTAATTAATCTGAAGATCTCATCCAACCGTTTCTTCAAAGAAGCCAGGGTATTGACAGCATTGCTCAGTAACTTGTTCTACATTCTCTTGTGTCACACAGTACCACCTTTTCTCAGTTTTAAATGCACTTCGGTTTCCCATTTTGTCCCCTAGTTCATGTTTCACTCCTGATTCTAAAGAAATCCATATGGTTAACCTCATACTCTTCTCTGTTTGAGACATTCCTTTCAGTCTTGGAATGCATCTTGGACTGATTCCAGAGCAACAATATTTGTCTGTAACATAGTTTACAATACACACAATTTTGCAATGCAATTTTGACATGATTTAACATAAACAAATTGATGAACTGAAATTCTATGCTTTTAAATATACAATATATCCTAACTTTGTATTTGTACACAGTATTGTTTCTCCGAATTGTATAGAACATGCAAATAATAAGTAGCCTCTTCAAGTTCAGTCTTGAATTTGATCTTTTTTTAAATTAGATACCTTTTGGAATTTTATCTGCTGCTTCTGCAACATTGCAGCCGTGGTAGCTCAGATGGCAAGGGCGTCTAGCTCCTGATTAGAAGGTCCCAGGTTTAATCCCAGGATGGGGCATGCAATGTAGCTTGCTCTGATTCCTTCCAGACGGCTCCCAGGTCACTCAGCCTGCTTTCCAAATAAGTACTGGGGATAAATCCTTCTGGGGGTAATAGGCCAGCTGGAGCATGATGCTAACCACATCACCTTCACCTCCAGCTCCAGTGTCGGATGGTCGAGAAAAATGGTGGCCCTTGCCCCCCACTCCCCCCCTTGGCCTTTATGGCCAAAAAATACCTACCTTCTGCAACATTTCAACAAATGTAGGTACTGTTCTTGAACTTAACTACTTTACTATCTATACCAAGATCATTAATATAAATGAGCAAGAACAGTGGTCCTAGAATTATTTTAGATGATCATCCCCTTTAGTTCTAAATATTGTGTTCCCAATATTATGAGTAATAGAAATCTGGCTTATTGGTCTATTTTTACTTAGAACTGAACTATGTTCTTTGTCTGTTTCCTTGGTGGCAAAAAGGTGTTTGTTCTGGTTTCAGTTCTGTTTCCACTGTGCACAATAATTTCAAGATGCATTTGTGTGATATACTGAGGTTTGAATCCAGCTCACTGAGAAATGCTTTTGAACAATGTTGTAATCATTAACTGCTCTTTTTCCATATTAGCAGATTCTAGCTCTCACATTAGAAAATATCTCCTGCTAAAAGCATAGCGTATCATGTCTGGCCCTGCTGATCTTTTTTCTTGGAAGTTTTATTCTCAGTCAGGAAAAGTCTATTTTCGTGTGAGGATATGCATCCTAAATAGTAAATAATTTTTTGCCACACACAGTTGTTGGAATTGTTGTACTTTTACAAACAAGAAGACATGAGTTTGAAAAATAAGTGGAGTGCAAATGAACACAAGGCAGAGAGTAATAAAGTTGACTTACTGCTTATATATACTGTGATGCCGCAGGGAACACGGACTACAGATGGGCACTGTTGAAGGCAGTGTCCGGCATATAGACAGCCAGAGACAATCAATCAATTAAACAGTTTTTGTAAATAAAGTTACCCATACCTATATTTAAGCATATGAGATATTTATATATTTGTACTAAACGTAACTTAATTACTCAAAATTAATATAAACAATAAAAAGCTAAAAAGATAAACTATCTTTCCACTTTGGAAAAAAAATAATTAATTCTCTGTTCAAGAGTGGCTGCTTTAAGTCAAGATATAAAGAAACAAGTCCAATAAAATGAGGATATTGGGATAGGCTCCAGCTCTACTGCAATCTGAGCTAGATAAAGCAGTTAGAAAATCGATGGATAAAAGGAAGAATAACAAAATATGTTTATAAATAGTTTTGGAGGCAGTGAAAGCTTCTTCTATACAAAAAAAACATCACATTTTTTTATTTAATTTACTTTTTCAGTCCAGTACTAATGTTATGCTATTATAAAGAGAAACCATTTGAGGTTGTTTTGGGTGGACAAACATACAGTTAATATTGCTAGCATATGTTAGCATAAGTCCCTTCAAGGGACTAATACACAGATGAAATGGAGTCATTTTAAAACATTTTTCTTTTCCCAACTGCAGGGTGAGGTGGGAGATCCAGGACCGAAGGGAGATCCTGGGCCCTATGGCAGAAAAGGAGAAAGGGTAAGGATGATTCTGATTATGATCTCAACTTCATGTATTCTCCTTTTTAGTAATATGTTATGTGCATGATAATCCCACTGAAAAAGATATCAGTATTGTTTTTCAATTTCAAAAGGATTTTTTGCTTTTAAGTTATCAAGCTAGGGTATATGATGATGCTCAGGAAAAGACATTTAAAAACAAATATTTTTCCTTGGGAAGCAACATGATTTATCTTAATCGTGATATAATCAAAATCCAATGAGGAACATAACTTCCGTAATGGTTGTGCTGTCAATGTACAGTACAATTTTATTCTGAAAATGCACATACTGCTTCTTGATTTATACTAAAGACAGGAAAATTATTACATTTAATCATTTGGAAGTGTCTCTTCATGGAACGTGTTATTGTATTGGTAATGTTGTGGCAATATCTATCAATTTTTCCTGGTTGTTTAGAAAAGAAAAAAAGCACACTACTTGCATGCACATGGCTGTATCCTATTATTTGCCTGAAGCCTTTGAAATGTCCTGCTGCATCTATACTGTATATAAAAATGGTATAGATTGCTTAAAAGCCAACAATGGTAGAGTTATTACTGCAAATAGTTTTGCAAAATATGCAAAAAGGACATGTACCTTAATGTGCTACCCACTACACAGTTAATATTCAAGATAGGAAAAAGTATGATTTACTAACATTTTTCCATGGGCTATAGTTTTCATTTTCTTGGGTTTCGATAAGAATGTTATAGTCACAAATGGGGACATTTTGCCCAAAATAAATGCTGCATGGATCTATTTTCTAAACCTTTCCCCTGTTCATTTGGATCTATGGGCAGAATTTGGTTGAATTAGGTGTTTGTAGAAGCAGTAGCTGTGAGTAATATCATGCTATTAGATGTGACTTTGTACTAGTGATTTCACTTCCTGCATTCCACTGCAGTCCACTGCAGTGAGTGGCCATACTGTTGTAATGGGGAGTCTGCCTGCTGCTTGTGTGGGCTATAAACTCCAAAATACCTGACAAACTGAGGACACTGCACAGTCATGTTCACAGAGTTCAGTTTGATTCACATGCAGTTTGACATATAAAATAAAATAAAAGAAGATGAGCTACTTTTTAGAGTTTAGATTGCATGGCAGATCACTAGGAACTGACCGGGATGTCAAACAGGATATAAATACTGTACTCACCAAACCAAATGTATCCTCCTATATAGGGTGAGCCTGGGAGAAACGGAACTAGGGGAAGACCTGGAAACAACGGTGCACCTGGAGTCAAGGTAAAAGGAAAGACGGCTACTAGTTTTGGAGTTTGTTACACCAAACATTTATTAAAGTATGAAGAATAAAATGGAATGAAGAAGAAATGTAGGATATTGTTTTCCAGTTCAACAATAGTTTAAATGTGAAATACAACTGTGTTCATTATTATAAAACATAGTGTATAGAAGTGTAGTATTATGTTAAGACCCAGTAACACTACAAAAGCCTTGTACAGGCAAACAACCACGAAACTGTACATTACAGATATTTACAATACGTAGATTTTCTAGAATAAACTTCTACTCATAGAAGACATTGATTCTGTACTGTACTGTAATAGGTAAAAAATGTTAGCTTGACAGTTAAAGAACATTTAATGGGTTGGCAGGTTAAAATGGGTTGAAAATGTACTGTACTGTGTGCCCTACCACACAACACAGCTTACCATACAACACTGAATTCTTCAAAAACAATTCAAGAGGAGAAGCAGGGGTTAGTAAAGTAGAGAAAAGAGCACCCAGACTGCACGGGGGAACCCTGGTGGCCGACTGGGTTGGCTGACTCGGCAGCCTCCGGGGCATGAAAACATGAACACGCCTGACTTGCGGAGAGTCGGTAGAGAGGCGCTGCCTCACTATTGGGAGCTAGACCCTCGGGGTAGGGAAGGAAGAGGAAGACTCCCTTGACTCGCTGAGTCGCTTTGAGAGGCGCTGCCTCACGACCAGGCGCTGCCCTCAGGGGATAGGAAGGAAGAGATAGCCCCTTGACTCGCTGACAGTCGCATGAGAGGCGCTGCCACAGAACTAGGAACGAATCCCTTAAAGGGGAAGAAAAAGAACCCCTGACTGGAGGAATCACTTTAAGAGGCGCTGCTCGAGGGGTTGAGAATGAAGAAAAAGCTGCTCAAGAAGAAAGTGAAAGAAGTCCCTGACTTCCGGAGAGTCGCTTTAAGGCGCTGCCTCGCTACTAGGATGAGCCCTTGGGGGACCGAGGGAACAATAATTAGTTAGTTAGTTCCTGAGAATAATGTGGCTAGGGGTCCCCTCTGGCTGACACTTGAGAACCCCAGAAAAGGTGAAGGTGGCACTGTCATCCTGAGGTTGGGGAAGTGAGCTTCACTTACCCCACAAAGATGGACCCCGGACCAACACTTTCCCTTCTAACACCCGTGAGGACAGACAAAGTGTGTGCCAACAAACAAGAGAAAAGAACAAGAAAGAAAGGTGAAGAGGCTATGTGTGAGCCTGACCGCACAGTGGAGAGGAAAAAAACCCTTTGTGCCAATTTAGGGGAAAACCTCTGGTGGCCCCGGCGGAACAGACAGCCCCACTCCGGGCATACTAGCAATTGATAATGAGTAGCTGAAATGCCTAAGAGAGTGGTGTTGATGTAAAGGTGGACTGCAGAGTAGGACGACTGGCCCGTTGTTTAAATAAGTTGAATATCCGGGATAGCTTGGGCAGTGGAGATGGCAGCTCCAATTCTGAGGAAACGAGGAGTGTAAACTGAGAGTTGAGACCAGTGTTGGAGATTGAAACTCACAACTGAGGAGAAAACATGTATCTGGGTGCTGAAGTATCCACAACAAAGTGGATCAGTTTGAAGAGCAAAGAAAAAGCGAGAGGCTGTCAAGTCACTCAATTTTGGAAAACGGAATACAGACAAACTGGTAAATTGTGGCTCTTAGAATCTGCGGCAGTCAAACACATTGCATCCATAAAAGCATCCTTGAAGGGGTAAAATGGCCTTGTCTCGGGTGATAAGCGGAGAATGTTGGAGGAGACAGGCTTCCTGGAAGGAACACTTAGAGGTGCTGTCTCTGGATTCCAAGAAGTGCAAGATGGAGTGCTGGAATAGAAAGCAGTGAGGACATTAAAGAGACTGAAATGTGAGGGAGAGCTTAATCCCAGAGGTAAGATTCTGTTGCATTTGGAAAACAGCGAGAAGAGCTAGGTTAATATGGAAATAAAAGGCAGCCGGTGGAGTGGGGGATAGGTAGAGTGTGCAGTCCTGGCAGAAGAGTAGGCTGTGTGGGCAGATGGGGCTAAAGCATGTAGTAACATGTCCATTGAAGCTGGGTGGAGATTTGATTCTAGACGACAAAAGAATGTGGAACTCGGAACCTGAAGCAGAAAAAAGCTGAGATGGGTATGAGGATGAAGGATTTGGGTAACTGTAAATAGCATTGGTTGTAGCATTGGAAAGGCCAGGAAGGTGAGCTTCGCTAGAGCTGAAGGAAATCCAGGTGAGACAGCGAAGGAAACTTGAAATTAGGGGAAGAGGATCTTCCTTTATCGGTAATGGAAGTAGTGGATTTGATATCAGAAATAAGATTGATCACTGGTCCTGAGGTATCACAGACATGGATGGCAGCAACAATAGGGTAGAGCTCTAGAAGGGCTGGCGATTATACAGGGAGAGAGCGAAAACCACTGAACATTGAATATTACTGAAAGACTAACAAAAGCATTAGAAGGGGGAGGTCATGCAGAGTAGAATACCAATTCTTGTAGAAGAAATTAGCAGTTCTGAAGACGGAGTAGAGGTTCACAGTCTCATATCCATCCGAGTGTCAGCCGATGTAGTAACGTGGGCATTAAGAGACAACAGTTGTAGAAAGCGAGAAGATGGGAGAAAGATTTGGCTTGAGGTATAATGCAGATATCATAATTTTAATGTGCCGAATAGGATAGCAAATCATATTAGTGATAATTTCAGAATTCTATGAAAAAAGAGGGTGGAAGGTGAGCTGCGAATTTAACCACATCTAAATGATAGGGCTTTTCTGCTGGAAAGCTTACATAAAACCAATACCAAAAGGGGTGGTCCAGAATGACAAAGAGGAGACTCTAGGAAGGAGCCACCAAGAAAACCTTATGGAGATCAGCTTGAATAAAGGTGCCAATCATCTCAAGCTCAGGAGTAGAGGAAGGAATATTGGGACAAGAATAAGATGGAATTGAAAATGGGCCAGTTGAAACATGTTGAAGAATATCTAGAAGGTAGTTAACAAGAAGGGAACGAAGATCCTGAAGGGTGCGTTTCAGGATGGGAATACAAATGGGTGTATGTACTTAGAAGAAAGAAGAGAATCATTTTGGAACAACAGGACGAATCACTCTAGAGAGGGCGAGACCGTTAGGTTATGAATATATAAAAGGGGGCGTGCCTTAGGATAGGAAGAGTGGATAAATTACAAATTAATGCGAATTAATCCCTCATTCATTTATTTCCTTTTTTTTAATTATATACTGGTAGCATGCCCAAAGGTGTTGGGTAGCCAGTTGGACTCCTATAGGTTATTTTTCTCCTTACTAAGGAGTTTTTGGTTCTTCTCTTCTGTTGTCTTCTGGTCTTCTGTTCTGTATTCACAAAATGTATGGTTACTTGCATTGTTAAGCGCCTTGGGGGCAACCTTGTTGTGAAAGGCGCTATATAAAAAATAAATTGATTGAAATCGGTTCAAACTGAAAATTTAATTAGGCAAAATAAAGGGCCACTTTAACAAACAAAGATAAGCAGTAGAAGTCCACTAGTGGCATCAGAGTGGGTGGGAAGAACAGATGGCATCCCTGAAAATTGGAGAAATTCAAAATTAAATTGCCAAGAGTGAAACTTAAGAAGACGTGTTTCTTCTTCTTAAGTTTCCATGATTCCATGATTTAGAACAACTGGAGATCTCCAGATTCCACTGCTAAGTAATTGCGATCAAAGATGAGAGAAACGTAATTGACATCTTCACCTTCAAGGATTTGGCGGCGAAAGTGAGGGTGGCCTGAGAGCAGCTTAGAGTCTGAGGCTTTGTCTGTACTGAGGGTGGGGGATAAAAAAAGAGACTGGAGATGGGTGGGGCTGAAAGAGGCAGAGCTGAATGAAGGGAATTTTTAAGCCTGGACAGACGGGAGTTAATATCGGCTACAGAGCGAGAAAGTGGTTTGAGAGTTTGAGAAAGCTGCTGGGAATCTGCAGAGAAAGAGAAAGAGCTGGGTAGCTGTGGAGGAGGAGGAGGCGGAACTGGAGAGTTGAGAGAAGGTGGAGCTGCAGGTACTGCTGTAGAAAGAGAAGGATGGAGGACTGGGTGAGCTGGAAAGAAATCGCATAAAAGTAGAAAAAAGGGGCTAAACGGTGCGAGTGAGGAGGAATAGGAATACATCCGTCAAACAGTGATCTGAGGAACCTTGGAAAAAAACAGTCCTTGTAAAAGAGACGCGTTGGCATATCCGAGGTGGTGCGGTGGTGTTTTGAACTACGTAATGCGAGAGGCTGGATGGGAGAAGCAGAAGCACCGGCGACGGGGGAGAGGAGGATTGGGTTGAAAATTAGAAGGTCGAGATGGCGAAACAGCGGAAAACAAACGGTGTGGAGAATCTTCAAGGTGGTGGAGGACAGAAAGGCAGTTTGGAGATAATGGAGAATTAGGCCTTCGAGCCATTATCGGTCTAGCATTCCGAATTCAAGTAAGTTGAATTAAACTCTAGATGTGTGTATTAGCAGAGTTAGAGTTTAAATAGGAAAGAGATAATTGAATGATAGAGGAAGGGGTGGAGCACCCCCCGCTTCTCCCCTAGAACACCACCTATTGGTTTCTATCATATATTGGAAAGAGAAATGTCAAGTTTAAATTTGGATGCTTTAGAAAGCACACTTAATATATTACATTTCTTCCATCCTTGCATCCTTGTTTAAACCTGATCCCCGGTATTTTGTTTTATTTAGGGTTTGCCAGGACCAAAAGGAAGTAATGGCGAGAAAGGAGAAAGAGGGGATGACGTAAGTGGTCTTTGTGGATGTGATCCATACCATAATTAGGTGCTCACACCTGAAGAAGGCTCCACGGCCGAAACATTTCTTTCTTCTCTTTTCAGCATGGAGAAATCTATTACTTGTTCCCTTGCAGCCTACACATGCTGACACAGCTACCTACCTGAACTACTACATACCATAATTATTGTGAATGATAGCATTTTTTAATGAGTTGTCAGATTATGATATTTTGCATTGTTACCGAGCAACTCTGCTTGTGTATATGCTTTGTATGATTTTAGATTATTTGATAAGAACATAAAAACAAATACAAAAGAGAGGTCATTCAGTCTCATCTTGTTACTTGTTACTTACTGTAGTAGTTAAAAGTAGCTTTTTGAAATAAGCCAGGGTATAAGCATCAACAACATGGCTGAGTAGCTTCTTTCACATTCCCATAACTCATTGGATATAAAATCTGAGGATTTTGAATACTTGTAATATGTCCCCTGATAGCCAGATGTTAACAAAGAGAGAAAGATTAAATGTATAATGAAAACATATACATCTTATCTCATATCTGAAGAGTTCCAATTAATCTAACATGTGTTTCATGTATTTAGGGTGAACCTGGTCCAGATGGAGAGGTTGGAGAAAAGGTAGAGTTCAATTTAAAAAATAGATAGTAAATAGTATCCCTCCTTAAGTCTGTAAAGTCTCTCCTACATTTGGTTCATTCTCTTCCTATCAGAATGTAAAAGTATATTATTAATTCATTACCATTTGAGAAACAAATGAAGTGTTTTAGATATTTAAAGTTACAAAGCATATTTAAAACTACAAAACAGCCTTTTCCTGTGAATCCAAAAACAGCAGAATGGATGCTCTCAGTGTAAGTGATGTTATTTTCCCCTAATTTAACCTTATGCTCTTACATGTGAAATGTGCAGAGACCTCACTTGCTAGAATCATTGTTTCCATATTCAAAGGGATTTAATTAATGTGATGGTGTGATACTAAAACTCATTGTGAAATCTCATTTTGTCAGCACACAGCTTTTGGGTTGTATGCTAAAATTTGGCTTTACTGAGAGAGAAACAACACAATGGCAACATATCAAAAACCAGCTGTCATAACATGAATAACTTACTAGGGAGTAAGATTGATAGGAAAGATAAGGCTGTTTTTTTGTCTTGTAATCTGAGTCATGATTAATTCTCAGGGTGGCCGTGGGGAGAATGGACCACAGGGGCGTCCAGGAGTCAGGGGACCCAGAGGAGAGCCTGTGAGTTTGTCTTTTTCCTTTTCCATTATTTCAAGGAAAAATGAAGCCCTCCTCAAAAATGAAATTATACTGTGCTCTCATAATGTTATTGCAGAAAATGGCAAATGGCCTAATTGAACTCATTACCCTATTTCAGCTCTGCAACACAGTTGTCAAATGGAATGCACTAGCAATGTGTGATTAAGTACTTTGCACTTACTTAGATTTTTAATTTTTTTAGTTTTTTTTATATATAGAATAATTCGCTATGAATGTATGTGCATATTTTATGTGAAAAGGCACAAAATGCCAATCTTTTCCTGTCTTCTTTCACAAATACTGGCCCCAGAGGAACTTCACTTGTGTGGAAAGCTTGTGTAATGCCATCACTCACAAACCTAGGGTAGACCACCAGTCTAATTTCATGAGTGCCCACCTTTTTTGGAGGGGGATACCCTAACAATTACCATATTGTTATAAGTTGGTGGCACCTTTATCATATACAATCTGAGAACACCCCCCAAAATATTTGGTCTTTATGAAAGTGAGTGTGCAGTATATAATGTAGATAGAGCAACAACCTTTAAAATGGAAAGCACTGCCCAGACTCCCCAAATCTCCACATTTCCAATTTTATTCAATATATAATATGTCATACATGCCCATCAGTAATGAAAAACTATTATTATATTTTGGGTGGAGACCTATATTGTCTGCATTAGGTGAGTGTGTTTGAGCAATCAAAGAAATAGATGTTTTAGGAGAGGGTTATTGTTCCAAAATGCTAGTCATTGAAATGTCTACAATGAACTTATTTTACTTCCTTGTATTACCTAGGGTGAAAAAGGAAACCCAGGAGAACCAGGGCGTGAGGGACCAGTGGGAATAAATGGAGACCCGGTAAGAGACTGCTATTACAAAACTAATTGACTATTGTAAGTACAGCCCTTCTTCTTTAAACACTGCGCTTTAGCCTGTTAGAGTATAGTCCTATTATTCATTGAATAAGTGAGTGAAACAGGCTTCTGTGTGTCTGTGAGGAAGTTCTACCAAACCTGTTCAACAGTTCACAGCTAGGGTATTATTAATTAATTATGTTGGATTTTGTTGTGTGGTGGTTTTTGAAATGGGAGATTTATTTAACAATACTTGCTTCATTTATTGCTTTTAAATGACTAACTTTACCAGAATTGTCAGGAATACCAGCATGTCTTTTGAGTAATCATTTATGTTTTGAAGTGAGCAATTACCAACAAAGTAGATTTTAATAAAATATGTTTGCATTCAAACTTATGCCCTTTCATGCGTTCAACTGAAAACAGTTAAAATGCTGCTGTCATTTACAGATGTATTAGTTTATAACATAACATCACAACTTTATCACACATTACAGATGTTTATGCTCAGAGTTTTTGGCACTCTTTTTAGTTACCACTGAGTGGTTACTGAAAGATATTCAAGCATATCAGATAATAAAAATGGAGGAAATGTAATGCTTTTAAGGCACAGGCTGTTAATAACAGCATATAATGCGGAGGTGAGATTTATCTTGTGGTATGGAGAATAATTTGTGTTACAAATATAAATACATTTTAAAAAATCACTATAAAAATAAAACAAATGATGTTAATAGGAAACAAATAGATCTTTTGGATCTCTCTATTTTCTGTTCGTTAGCTTGCCAATAACAGACCTCTGTTTTTAGTTTTGTGTTTTTTAGAAAGTTACCTTAAACTGGAGAATACTTCTAAATCATATCAATCATAGTCTTTTTACTACAGAGAAATGTGTATCACTTTGATCATAGCTGACTCTTTCTTTTGCATTACACTGTAGCTGATGTCTCATTTATTATGTACAGTATGTGTGATAATTTATACATTTTAATAAAATAGTTTAACATGATTCAAAAGCTGAAGTGAAAGCTATCAATAGAGCAAAAAGGCTATTTAAAAGAAAAAAAATTTGAAATGAAAATGTATTATTTTTCACTACACCAATGGAGAGAAATATAATATTCTGTCATCTGAGGAAAATAACAGGAAAACAGGAAACAGATAATGTGATAAAAAACTTTTATGATAATTTTAAAATTTAGACAAAAGCTATAGTGTCAGATACAAGAGTAAGAGCAACATATGGTTGTTATTCATATGATTCTGTAAACTCTCCTGTTAACCGTGATATAGAGATATAAGGAGATATAGGGACTTTGTGCTATAGCATTTAAATCTTGCTAGCAATTGTGTGATTAAATAAATGTTAACAGTCATTAATTAAAATTCACATTATCACAACAGTTTCTCAAACAATAAGTTGTAAGGTCTGTAAGGAATAGTAATCACTGTAATTGGGTACACTTGGCCTAGTAGACAACTAGGTTCACCTTTATATGTGAAAACACTAATACAAAAGTCTCAATACAAAAGTACCAAATGTTTAGTAAAGCTTTTACTGTAGGTATAAATTTCAACATTGATATCCAGACAGGAAGAAAAGAGAGAAAGGAACCATAGCGATAACCCTCGAGCGTTATGACCTTTAAACAGAATTTTATCATCAGGTGTTATTCTTAAAAACATACAGCTCTCCCACTATGGTATTTTCTGGGTTTATTTTGTCTATGTAAGTTGAGAACTGTATTACTCCATTCTTACACACTCCCTCTAAAAAACAAAAACTCATTTTTTAATTTTAATTAAATTAACAGTGGACCTATACAGGTGATAAAATTCATTACTTAAAGTAAACATCTTAAGTTAGCTGTTTATTTAGACAAGGTGAGTTTAAAAATAATCTTAGCACTAGTGTGTGTATATAATGTATCCATACATTGTTAGAACGCCATTATTTCCTGTGAGACCAGTCAACTACCCCCAAAACAGACGGTGCAATATAAGACACTGATGTGTGTTTTAAATGTTAATTAATCTCCTTTACTACTGGATATATAAAATATAAACCAGTGCTAAATAGTCCACAGAAGGAACAGACAAAGGTCGACAGTGAAAACTAGAAAAACAGTTTGAATTGAGTATGGATTGAAAGAAAGTTTGTTTTTATTGATTAAGTTTGGCATTATAAAAACTGCTAAAAATTACACACAGGGCTCGTTATGCATGGGGTTTAGATACATGTGGGGTCTCTGTGGTACTTTTTATTGGAGACTGTAGGCCTTGACAACTATAAGCATTAATTGACCATTCAGAGATCATTAATTCAGGTGAGCTACTGTATACAGTATACAGTAGCATTCAACCAACAGCTTCAACTGTCTGCTCCATTATCATCTTAGGATCCATAGCAACAATTAATGTTATGCAGCTGAGGCAAAATAAATGTTTTGCATTTAAAAACAAACAGATAATAAAGGATAAAAATCTGCTCATAGTACTGTTAGTAAAATACCTGTTTTATAAAGGAATATTTCCTTTCTGCTATAGGGTGAACCTGGTCGCCTAGGACCAAAAGGGTACAAGGGAGATGAGGGACCTGCAGGACCTGAGGTAAGTTATTAAAAAAAACATTACACAGCCTCCTACATCCTCTTTAAATCGTGTGAACTGATTGGAATGAAAACACATCATACAGTATGTCATGGAAACAGGAACCAGATACTTTTCTTCAAAGGCCTTCATTTCTACAACAAGGCCTTAGAGTGTCTTTCACACACCACTGTTCTGCTTGAATTTGGACAAATAAGTCCTTATTTTATTCAGCCCTATCCACTGGGTTGACTTCTTTGATGAAAATGTTGCCATTATAATGTCATTCCATATTTTGAATTTATAATACACTGTTGTTATTAATAATAATAATTAATAGAAATATTGTCTGCATTTGTCCAAATATTAGAATATTTAAAATTAATATTAAAATTTAATATTTAAAAATAAATCAAATCACATTCAAATAATACAAATTCTCATATTGATGTCAAGATATTTCCAATAACAGCAGGGCTAAGTCTACTTGTTAAAGGTGTCTAAAAAATGTCTTGCTTTTCAGTTCCAAGATTTTCCAAATTGTGATTTTTCTAGAAGTGAAACAGACTTCCAAATCACTTTTTTTAGCTTAAGACGTATCTTAACCATTTTTATTTCAGGGCTTGAAAGGAACAAGAGGTCCCAAAGGCACCCCTGGAGATCCTGGACTGATGGGACAAAGAGTAAGTATCAGAATAGGCCTCACACCAAAAGCTTGCCAGAGATGAACGGAAAAGAAAAAGAAAATCAAAAACTGAATTTAAAATTTAAAAATTAAATTTTAAAATTGTAAAATCAAAATCAAAAGAATGACAGCTTGAAAAATTCACTCATGCAAATTATTTAGTCTGCATGTTTTACAGACTTGATTAGTAATTATTTACAAAATTATAAGGTTGAGTAAGTCCAACACAGACAAAAATGTAGTTTGCAGAAACTATGTTTTACCTCTTTGAAGTACACAGGTCCATTTTTAAAAAGGTGTGTTTGAATGAAAAATTAAAGGCACTATAGTGCGGTATGGTGATGTAATGGATAGCACTGCTGCCTTGTTCCAGACCTAGTGTGCTATCCACGTGGAGTTTGTATGGTCTTCCTTTGTTTGCTGTGTTTTCCTCTGGGTGCTCCAGTTTCCTTTCACAGTCCAAAAACATACTGGTAGGTTAATGGGCTTCTGGGAAAATTGACCCTGGTGTTTGTGTGTGTGTTTGTGTCTTTGTCTGTGTGTACCCTGCAATGGACTAGTGTCCCGTCCTGACTGTACCCTGCCTTGTATACTGCATTTTTGCCCATTCTTCTTGGCTGTTTTTTTCAAGTTGCTTGGACAAAAGTTTTCAAGGTTTTCCACAAATCTTTCCACAGTCTCAGTCATGAGAAGCAAAACTATAACTTAATGCTGCTGCCTCCATATTTGACAGTAGTTCTGGTGTTGACTGAAGGATACAGTATGCTGTTTTTTCTTCAGATGCAACGCTTTGCATACAAACCTCTTTTGTGAAGTGACTGTAATAGAGTTCACCCATTGACTTTTTCTCCTACTGTATGTCAGCTGCTGAACTCTGTAACTTTTTCAAATTCACCCTTGGCCTCTCACCATGGCATCCAAAAACAGTTTCCTCCTAGATTGCTCACTAGGCAGTCTAGGTGTTCTCCACTTCTTAATGATCAAAATCACCACCTCAAAGACACACAAAGAGTCTTTAAATTTTTTATACCCTTCTTTTAGTCTGTGCCTTTCTACAGCTTCAATCCTGAATGTTTTTTGAAAGATCCTTGGTTTTCATGATTAAATCTCTACTTAATATTTTCTACCCAATTGAGGTGTCATTCAAAAGCAGGTCTGTGAACCATTATTACTGAGAGTTACAGAGAAAGGCCACTTAACTACAGTAATTGTGTGGTTTGTTAAGGTAATTTTATTAAAATAAATAAATACATTAAAATAGTTTAATTTAGGATCTCCACAGCAAAGATTTCTAATACTTATACAGCCTTGCATGACTTTTGCATTTTATCTTTCTATTTTGCTTAGAATGTGTGAAGTAGGTACTGTATATAACAAATATTAAGTAGGTTGCTGCATCAGCATGTATAGGATGCAAAGTGATGGTTTATTCCATTTTGTTTCAAGGCTTGTGGAGCCTTTTTCAGATAAAGAAGGTTCCACAGCCAAAATGTTGTGTTTCTTTTCTCCTCTTTTCAGCATGGAATAAACGTTTGCTTGTTCCTTAACAAATATTAATAGCTACTTCTGGAGTGTCATGACTGTGAGTTCTAAAGTAATAAGATGTGAAAACCATGTAAGAGTCTGAATACTTTTTATGAATACAAGGCACTCGGTGTTGTTTATTGAGAAAACATCCATCCACTCATTTTCTAACCGTTTCATCCAATTCAAGGTGGCAGGAGCCTATCCAGTTAGGCAACAGCCACAAGGCGTGATCCACTCTGGACAGAACACTGGACCATTGCAGGGCATACACAGGTCCGAAACTGAACCCAGGGCCCTAGAGGTGCAAAGCAGCAGTCATAACGACTTTGCCACCATGCCACCCTATTGAGAAAACATGTTTTTTTCATTCATGAACAACAACATTCACTCTAGAAGTATTTTTTTCACACAATTAACACGCTCTATGAAATAAAATAGTCTAGTTGTTTTTGAATGTGACTGAAATCAAACACTGCTTATCACTGGTTTATCTTAACAGGGTAGTCCACTTAGTGAATATTATTTTATTTATTAGTTCAATGGGAAGAGAAACATGATACTTTCTTAACTGAAATAAGTTTAGATAAAACTAAATTTATCTGAGTTTTCTCATCTTAAGAGGCAAGAGCTGTGGAATATTAGGGTGGTTCTTCATCCTGCCTCTTGGGTTTTAATTTATTTTTGTTTATTTTTTATGGAATTGTGTTCATAAAAATGTGTCCAACTGCAATTTTGATCATTAGATACCTGTATTAGCAAAATGAATTTGGACTATAACAGCTGTTGTGGGAGTAAAGAATATGTGAGCATTATCTTGATTCTTGAAAATCTTTATACATTTTCATTAATGTTAGGGAGAAGATGGTTCCCCAGGCACTGGGACAGAAGGATTCCCTGGCTTCCAGGTAAAATTTTGTTTGCCTTGGGTTAAACTGCAGCGCCCTTATATCAAATTTTAAACGTGTTGCTTGATGATAGATTCTTGTTTGCTTGAGTCTCCTAGCTTCTTGCGTCATCTTAGTAGATGACGTTCACCTCTGAGTGTTAGATTTATCATTTGACAAGTTTGAAATTTTATGAAAGCCTGAGTATTTCCTATAAAAATCCTTAGAGAATAATAATTTAAATGAGCATTTTTTTCTCCTCAGGGTTATCCAGGACGTAGAGGAGAACAAGGATTAGAAGTAAGTCCTCAATTATGTTTTTCAAATACCATGATTCTAGTAGAAAAATTAATTTGTAAAGCCCTATCCATATTTACAATGCTGTGCAAAAGTCTTAGACATCTTCTGACTATTAGGTGCTAGAATGCTTCTTTGCTACTTTTGTGCCATGAAACACTTCTGTTTTTAAGGAGTATATGAAATTTACTAAAATGTCTCCATTAGCCTTAATTAAACTGAAACATAACTATCCTAAGTAAACAGTGCATGAACAGCCAATATAACATGAACTTTCATTATTTGAGCTATTCCATCACATTTAACACATTCTACAAATCAATCAGTCAAGATTTTACTGTTATCTTAAATTAAGGTGGGTCACCCAGTCTGGGTGGGACCCACCCAGACTGCAGGGGGAGCACCCCCTACTGGCACCATTAACACCTCTTCCAGCAGCAACCTTAGTTTTTACCAGGAGATCTCCCATCCAGGTACTGACCAGGCTCACACCTGCTTAGCTTCAGTGGGTTGCTGGTTAGTTGCAGGGTGATATGGTTGCTGGCAGATATAATTGCTGCTGGCACAATATTACCAGTATTAAAATAAATGATACAAAACTTAAAATCAGCCTTAATGTACATGATGTATTACTGTACTTTCAAAACCCAACTAAAGCAGTGCCAGGTATCACTAAACCTATCAGTCGTTACTCAAGTATATGTAATTATTCTATCAATTGGAATAAACGTGTAATGTTACTCCTGTGTGGGAATGACTGAAATGCTACAGCTCAAAATCCAATGCTTTCAATTAAAGCAACATCACAAAAATATCTCCACCAACCTAGCTATATTGTTTAAATTCAATTTTATCTCACTCTTGAAAACAATCAAAGATTATTTAAACTGCTGGATGAATTTACCTCTTTCAATCACTGGAATTATTGCCACAGTCAGGATGGCAATACTACCCAAAATTAATGACCTGTTCATAGGGATTACAATTCAACTCACAGCCAATTGGTTTAACACACTCAGCTCTATCATAACAAAGTTTTATTGGAAAAGAATAAAGCTATCAACCACACACAAACTAAGCTTATGGACACCTTAAGGCCCTTGATTGCCTTCATTGCTGTCTGTCAACCCATATCCAACCAAATAGTTGAATTCCTACCAGGACAATAAAATATGGACAAAAAATAGAGCAAGCTGAATGCAGGGAAGTATCTATCAGAGATTTACCATTTTAAGTAAAAATTGTTAACCACCACAACTGTTAAAAATTGGTACAACTGACAGCCAGCTAGAGAATTAATATAAAAAGGTCAAAGATTTCATCATATCCCCTTAATCCCCTTATGAAAATTCACCGATATGTCTTCAGTCCATTGAAACAAAAGGGCATTATGCATTTGCAGCATTGTTCAGAAAATCACATTCTTTATTTTTCAAAAGTTGGTCCAGAGATACGGTACTGAGGGAAAACAATATCTATAATATTTTCAACTTAAAATTAAGATCAAAGCAAAAATGGAGCAACACACTCCAATCTCCTCCACTTATCGAAAAAAATTGTAATGAATTTAAACTGTATAAACTCTAAACTAACATTAATTCAACTGTCTTTTTGAAAACATTCCTCTCTGCAAGAAATCTGCAAAAATACATTTAATATAATTACCAATACTGATTCACACAATGTACGGTAATTACTATGAGTAATGTTATTACATCCATGCCATCTGGCTTTGCCCAGACGTTCAGCAGTTATCTTTTGAATTAAGCATCCCTCTATTCCCTTCTCTATCTTTGCTGGGCGATCTTTCGGCATTCTACTACCCAGACAAAAATGCTGCACCTATACTCTGCCCTAATCGTCGCTAAGAAAACAATTTTTCTGTACTGGAAAAACAGAGACCAACTATCCATTTTCTAATGGTTAAATATATTAATAGAACATACTGTATGTGATATATGTGCATGGAAAGAAACACACCCTACATAAAAATCAAACTGGAAAATTTGATTCTCTAAATCTGCTGGTGAACTAATGACTTCCATACCATAAGCATACACACTGAAACCACATACATATTATATACACATAAACACCATGATGTAAATCTTTATCCTGTTTATTCATTTCCATGTGGCCCTTGCTGTATATCTATCTCTTTGTCTCTCTAGCACCCCTAATTAATAAGTCATCTATTTCTCAATATCCTCTTTGTTACCTCCAGTTTGTCTGTAGGAAAGAGAAGAAAAGGAGCTATTTTATTCCAAAAGCCATCAGTGAGACATTATATACATTCTGTGTAGAAAACTTACAATGAATTAGCTAATTAGCTCATCTGCTGAATTGTTATAAGGAAAAAATCAGCAATGTGAAAGTAAAGCCTCTTTTTATATTTAATGGAAAACTAAATAAAGGGTAATACTTTTATACCCATTTTTGTATTTTCTCAGACCACACATCAGTCTAGACTACAGTATAACTTTTTTTAGTTTTTACTCTCATTTAAGCATGACTGGGAGAGTACTGACCTTAGATATGAAAAAAGAATAATGTAGAGAGAATACCTATCCTCTAGAGGTTACTGTTTATCCAATTAAATCAGCCACTGGGTAGGAAGGCAGAAAAGTGCCCCAACAGCTTTTGTTGAAAACTTGTTAAGATAATCCTTTCCAAACGTAGCAGTCATCTTCCCTGAGAGAGTAAAACAAAATGGCTGTCTGAATTACAGTACTTTTTCTTAGAAAATCACAACGTATTTATTTAGAAATACTTGATGGAATTACAAATTGTACAGGTTTCATTAATGGGGCAAGCTCTGAGAGATAAAAGTCAATTGCAGATGTGGCTAGGAATCATCGCTTGGGCACTTACATTAAAAATTAAAGATATGTCATTTCTCTTTTAATGGATCCCTGACCCATTTCTTGATTGAATGTTTTGAAAAATAGTTTCAGTCTTATCTACACATCGCAGATATCATCAGACTTTTCCTTAAACCAGAAGAATCTACTGACCTATTTTTAAATATCTAACCACTGCTATTGTAAAACAGTTTAGGCAATCAAACTGGCAAACATGATCAAGACTACCATCTGACCTACTTTTTTTCACTTGAAAAAACAAGTAGGGACCAGGGACAACAGAATTACAAATATGAGAAAAGATTAAAGATCTTGTATGAATCTTGAGCTACTTTTTCTTCTCGGTTTTCAAACTGCTCCTCTTAAACTACAGACTTCACTACAGAATTAACTCCAGGCTTCACAGGAAACTTCTGGGACATTATCCAAATGTGCAGAACTCAAGTCCTGGGGGCAATAGTCCAGCAGGTCTTTTATAGCTTCAACACCTAAATAAGTAGGAAAAGGTGGTGCATTGAAAGTTAAACCAATAATTAAGTCAATTAGATAGAAAATGTAAGTTTATTTCACACCTATTTTTCTTGTTTTAAGCCAAGCACACTGTAAGAGAGATTAGGTAGAAATACAACTACAGACACTACAGACAACTTGGATAGGAATTTTGTACTGCAGTCCAAACTACACCAAGAAGGCCAACTACATTTTCTACTCAAATTTAAGTTTAAAAAAATATCTTGCTGAATAGAAGATAGCCATCTTACCTGATCTATTCCATTCTTGAATAAGTCAACCTGCGTGCCTCTCTAAAACTCTCGTGGTTTGAAAGAAATTTAATTACATGTACATCTAGTTCCAGTTTTTAGTATATGAACAATTATTCATGTTAGACTGCTTGATAAAACCTTCATTGCCTGTTTATTATGAGGATATTTAAGCGTTCCAAAGCCAAGAGGATTGTTCAGCTATTTCTAGAACTCAGTAGGTCATCCGGAAATTGTTAAACCACAACAAAGTTCGAAGTATCAGATCAGACATCGTTATTTGTTTATTTTTTCTCAGGGTCCAAAGGGCTACCCTGGACCAAAAGGAGATGAAGGAGAGCCAGGAGTCCCCGGTGAAGATGTGAGTCATGAATTAAATTGTTCTTTAGTTTATTTTGCTTTAAATGACTCATCGTTGGGTTCTAAATACACTTATTCATAAAATGAAATTTTCCCACAAAGTTTAAATATTAGAAGTAAGCAAAATCTATTTTTGTTCACTGTTTTATGCACTGTATAAGGTAAGTGTCCATTAGAAATGCCATACTCTTAGCTCATGGAGTTGTGTATGTTGTGTTTCCATGGGAATAAGAGAAACTGGATCACTGAAAGGAAGAGGAGGGCCTTCTCTCTTACACAAGGAATTTTGAGAATGTCCTTTTTCCTCCTTTTTACATAGCCTGCTCAAAAGTTTAATTAGATAGGGTAGTTCAGACATCTTTCTATGCTACCATTTTCAGCTAATATTGTTTCTCACTGTTTGTGCTATATCTTATGCAATAATATCTTAATTTAGAGTAATGATCTTGAACATTTCTGGTGAAAGAGGTTTTTTTTATCCTTAGTTAAAAATATTGACTTATACACTATAAAAACAAACCGAAAAAAGACCTCAATAGGAAAAAGCTTTTCTGAGGCACTTTGATCTGAATCTGAAAAAGAAGGCCGAAATTTAGTTTTTTTTAAATACTAAAAATTAATGCTAGACTTGGATTGCAACACAGCTTAGTATTTACTGTTCGTAATGCTTTGTGTTCAAGTTAACAGTTATTAGTATAATGAAGATATAAGGTGTGAACTACTTTTTTGATTGATTTCATGATAGAAAATGTAAGTTTATTTTACACATATGATTGTAGTTTTTAGCCAAGGACACTCTCATTGTCTTTATTGTATTGTTTTAAAACAGTTTTACTGAATAATGTTACAGTACATACAACTAATTTCAGCAAAATGAAACTTTATATAAGCAATTGAAACTAGGGCACCATGAGGTATTCTTTTTAAATAGGTTGTGTACTGGATTTAAAACCTTATAACTTATTCTCAATAAACATTGATTTACTCCATTGAAGTGTGATCAGCTTTACTTCAGCTCGTTCAGTTTTCAATTAATAATGTTTAAACCAAGATTATAATTTATTTCAGTCAGTTGATTTGCTGTGAAATGCATTCAGCATTCAGCAGACAGATGAAAAGTTCACTCTTGCTATTTTTTTATAATTCCAAAAGGCTTGTTTTGCGCCAATAGGCCCTGAAGCCTTTAATTGTTACCATACGTTTAATACCCATCAGTTTCTGATTTAGACAATGCTGCAGGGTTTTAAATGAAGAATATTCTGTGAAACAAATACAGTACCATATGTGAAAGAAAATCCCAGGTTTTACATTTGTTTTTAGAGTTTTCCTGTCTTTCCCTATTTTATATACATGTTAGTGAAACACACAATATGGAGTCATAGTCTTAAATATAAGCAGCCACAAGATGAAAATAAGATGCATGCAACATTCTAATCAAGGGCAATTTAAAAATATCTTCAGTGAAGCAGTAGACTGCGATTTGTGCCTTATTCATTCGATTCCATGTCATTCCCTGCAGCCTTGATATCTCATATGGCTTTGGAAAGCATTACAAATTTATTAGTGAGTGAAGGAGGTCTGTATAGTAATATAGCTATATTAGTAAATATAAACAAATCAATCACATTGTAGGTTTAGATTTTGAAAGTTCAACTTATCCCTTTTTTACCACCAAAACCTTTGATAATTAATGCTATCCAAGAGTTTACTGATTAGAGCTTGTGGCTGGTAAGTTTATGGGCCTGAATCATGGGTAGAGCACTGCTATTGTACCCTTGAGGAAGATTTCACTCAAAATGTTCCTGTAAAACAACCTGATGAATAAATGGGTACAGTCAAGACCATCATTATAAATCAGAATTTTTTTCTTTGTTAGTCTGATTAAATAGTTTAAATAAAAAAGTAATTTTTAATATTACATTTTCAAACTGAAGGAATGATAGATACAAAATTAGAATCTTTTGTCAACATGATGTTATTTCTCATTTAGATTCCTCCTCAGTTTAATGCCTTGGCTGAGGAGAGGTCTAGATGGCATCAACTACTTATTCCCTGTGGCCTAGCATCAGTGTACAGATGAGCACCCCCAGTATGATATGAGACAGAAAGTAAAGGGCAACCTAAATGTAATTAGAAAATGTATGGATTGTTTTTAAAGAGTGGAAGTGAAGAGGAAGTGGCAGTGAAGATTTTAGTGAAGTTTAGAAATTGAGCAGTGCAGACATAATCGAGTTGAATACTGATGTGCCTGATGATTAATAAAAGTTGAGAGTGAAGAGTTGATGAAACGATGTAGTGACTTATGTGAGTAGAACCAAGTAAAGAACAGTGTAGAAGGAGAAGTATTGTGCTGTCTTCCCAGAGAGGGGAATATTGTAGAAGTCAAGATAGGCCACTTAAAACATAAAAAAACAATGTGACACCCCGGTAGTTTCAGAATTGTGATGACGTGTAGGATATCAGGACAAGGATGATTTTTTATTACATTCGAGGCAGCAGCTTCAGCATGCATAGGTGGCAAAGTTCATACTGAAAGGGCAAGAAAAGAAACACTACCTTTCAGCTGTGGAGCCTTCTTCAGGTGTGATCACTTACATGATTTTTGATCATTTATAATTCTAATTTATACTACCAACACTCTAACAGTCTAACAGACATGAAATAATTGCTGACAGTTAAATTATATACTTTACAGTACAACCAACTTCCTGCTAGACTTCCCTCTGCAATCATTGTTGTTGAATCTTACTGATAAATGGCGATATTCATTATTTAAATATGATTGTTATGTACCTGTCATTTGGTGTGTGCTGCACAGCTGTTACCAGTTTTTTACCAGTGTATTTCATGGTCCAGTGACCATGAAATACAGACAGAACATTTTTTAACATGCAAAACATCCCCTTAGTTTTAATTCTGATGTGTGACAAAAGATGTGTAATGGTACATGATTTCATTAAATAATGTTACTGTATTTTCGTTGCCTCTCAATATATTTTGTCCAATATGTACTGCATGTTCCATTATATATATAAACAGTGTGTATAGTTATAAAGTTTCAAAGACAACTAGTATCATCAATCACACATCATGTCAATTGTACTTGTGTATGAAAATTTGGTCCTGGAAGATCTGGCTCAGTCAGAATTTTACCTATGTTCAGGAATTTAGTTCTGATTGGTGGACCATTTAGCAAACCAGAAAACAAGTTTACAATTTTAGAAAACTAAAGACTTTTTGGATAAAGAAATAAAATAGGATTTGATTAGCTTTGCAAACTTTCCTATTATTTGAATCACAGTATGGATCTGTGTGAGAAACATCTAGCTTAAGTAGTCTAATTATAAAAAACATGAACACTTTCTTTTGTCCTATTCCTTTGGGGCAGTTTCTAGATGTTAGCTAACATACTGAAGAAATGCTTCATATGGTTTATATCCAGACACTGCTTTGATCTTTGTTTGGCAATGGCCGCAGTCATTTAACAGATGTTATGAAAGATTGTACACCCCCAGATTTTCAGTCTGAAGTCAACCATGGAGTCTCAGAAAGAGGCAAGATTGGAGCTTAAAGAGATACTTTAGATAAAAAAGGCATAACACAGTTTCACACATTGGCTTGTAAATATCATAACTATAATATAAAGCTAAAGTATAATTTGCTTCTCTGATTTAAGACCTCAATAGAAACAGAGAACTTGAAAAATGCACCAAGTTGAGAGAAAATCAGCAGCTGCTTAGTATGAGATAGAACTTGCTGAATTTTAACAAGAAATGAGAAATATGGAAATTGTGTGCTATTCATTTTTTGTGCCTTTAAAGTTTGCATATACAGTGCCTTTCACAAAAAATTTGAGACCCCTGGTTTATAAAGGTTTTCACAATTTATTCCTATAAAGCTTGCAGTCATGACACTCTGAAGTAGCAATTCATATTTGTTCTATAAACAACCATGCAAAACAAGTAACAAAAAGATGTCAATAGATAATTAATGTGAAAGAAAATTGAAAACTCACAATTGTTATCTATGTGCAATTATAGTAGTTTTCATGATTTCAGAATAAAAATACTTGTATCTGTGACAGTCCATGCTTTCAAAGTAAGTCAAGGATAAAGTTATTGAAAAGCATAGATCAGGATAAGAAGAAACAGATACCTGCTTATATCAAGATGGCTGCTAAACTGCTTATTTCTGTCAGTATATGATCTGTAAAACTCCATTCAATTTTGATTACACTTCATTAGAAACATGGATATTTACTGCCAGTTTTTGAAATGAGGGGTCACACACACTCTCAGCAGTGGTATATTACTTTTCCACTCACATGTACTGTATGCCAAGGGTGGCCAGTAACCTGAAAATAAATTCAAATGGTTGTTCATTAGTGCTTGCCAGGGTTTAAGCAAAGTTATGGAACAGTGGAGCCTTTTCAGAGAAACAGTTTCAAAAGTACTAATGTCTTGCCTTTGGGAAGGAATGGTACAATAAATTTCAAAATCTAAAACCTAGCAATCAAAATAAATAGATGTCAAAATGTTAAAGCCTTCATCTTCTCTCTATTTTGTAGATGGTACATCAAGACAAAGTCAACAAGGTGTTCTTTTTAATCACAGCTTAGTCGGTGTCTTATTCATTTTTGTAGGAGAAAAAAAATCAGAGGCTGCTGCAATGAAGGGTAAAAGTTTTGGCTGCCTTTCGTCTTACTAAATATCTTCAAAACCATAAAAAAAACTTATTTTATAAACATAATACTTTTTTACCCTTGAATAGAATCATTTTATTACAAAATGAATGCATTTCCCTTAACCCCAATTCAATTGTTTGGTCAAACTCTGACACTGATGAAACTGCTTATCTATGCGCAGAAATCCCCCCAAAAGAATCCCCAAAACACAGACACAGACTGCTAACATTTAACTTAATGTTAGAACTAGACCAGACGGTTTGGCTGCTGTTTTGCTGGAACCATGCAGAACTTGCGTGTACCTAACGAAAATGTTAGGTCAGCTAGCAGTAGTTGCAGGACCAGCTACTCTAGCTTGGATTGGAATTCTGTGGTGGGCAGCAAAAGGCTCTGGGAAAACAGAAGAGCAGGCTGGTACTATAATTCAAAGCTATAATGCTGACAAGAGCTTTTGCTTGCAAAATACAGCGTCATGAAGAGCTCTATACATGACCAATTGGATGCCAGTTGAAAGGAAAGATAAACTGTGATGGCAGCCCTTCACTGCAGCTGCCTAGGCACAGATGAGGACAGCATGGGGGTCAACAATTAAGCCTCCATATAAAACATATGTAAGCTAGGGGTATAGGTGAGGTGGGTTCTACTTTCGACCCAGAAACGGGCAAACAAGGGGAGGGAGGAGAACCAAGCTGGTTAGATCTTTACACAAGATGCAAGAAGTAACTGTAATCTACAGTATTTTGAGTTTGTGATATTCTGATTTATAAGGTTGTTTGCATAAATACCTGTTAAACAGCCATTATTGCACTATGAACTGATGTACATTGCTGTTACACAATATTCTAGCATATATGTAATTGTGCAGAAACAAACAGCTAAGGTTACGTAAATTCATGAATGTAATAGATATTATTTAAATAAAATTTGTTATTTAATTTAAATATACAATTTAGTATTTAAAAAAATCACAAATAGTGGTCATTGAAACATCAGTGGTTTGAAAGAAAAATTCTGATATGTCCCCAGTACAAATGGAGATGCAGTATTTTGAAATTACTGTATACTGGGCAGCTGTTAGTCAATTGTGGAGCATCTGTGGTGCATGCATTTGGTTTTTGGTAGCAGCCTTGAGGTTAAGAGATAGTGAATGTAAAGTGAATTCAAGTAAACACTGTGTGCTGAAACTTATTCAAATAAAAAGTCTCACCAAACTGTAAAGGGTTTTGGTGATCTCTAAACTTTTTTTGCACTTTGCAAAGTTCTCCTGAAAAAATATGTCCTTGTCACTAACTGCTATGAAAAATCAAATGAAATGTACTGCAATCGATTAGTGACTGCCCATCTCATTGAAGCATTTCGCACTGTTGTGTGAAACTATTGTACTTCACCATTTGTATTGGAGCTGCACCTTATCTGATATTACACTCAGAAAAATCTGAGTGTAATAAAAATCATAAGAACATTTTTTAATTCAAATTCATTAGATATCTACAATGCATTACATAGGATGAACTTGGTTTAAACAGCCAGCAGAATGTCCTGGTTAAGGACACAGCACATGCACTCATACCAAGGAGCAAATACGTTGAAGGGAGAACAGGCAGAAAATATAAACTCTGCAGAGACAGTCACATGTGAGCTAATTCATGAAGCAGTTTTAACTAGTTCAAGGTTTTCCCCAGATTAAATTAACCTGATAAATTTACTTTAGGATAACTCCACTTTCACAAAGGCAAACCCTGTTTTAAATTATCCAGTTAAAGCTATTCCTGCTAAAACAATGTGAATAACTGTGCATTTGCACTGTACTTAGTACACAAGCTTTGAATCCTTCATCCACACCAGCAAAACCACAGCAAAGGAAAATGCATCTTAATCCAGTGACCATGAAATACAGCTCATTATGAAAAACCTGCCCACACTCAAGATCCAGTGTTTTTCTCATATCTGTGCTCAGGTTTGTAATGCTAAGTAGAGTAATGGGGTTTCAGGCAACTGCATTCCCAGTATCAAATTTTCCCTTTAGATATAAATTACTTGACGAAAACTAAGTACAAACTCTTTTCATCTCTATTTTGGTTTCCTTCTATCATTTAGATTGTATAATTAGCATTAAGACAAAATCTAAATTATATTAATATGTCTGTAAACCTAAAAAAAAACGATCACATTCACAACAGACTATAATATAAAGTAATTTTTTATACAGTTGGCTAACTGAGTAATCTTGGTTTCTGAAATATCCCCAGAGTGTTATACTTTATGTATTATATACTAAAGACACTAGACATGCTCCTTTATACTGATTAATTTGCACAAAGGGGAGTATGAACATATTTTTTGAAAATGCAACTTTACATTTACTTTACAGCGATATTATTGCATACTATATATTTCAACATATATTAGTATATCCTATATATAGAATATTAGGACAATATTATTTACTCAATAATTATTGCATTTACTTTAAATCTAATCTTTTTTTTTCTCTGGTGCTAATAGGCTTCCATTGAGTCCTGCAGATCCAACCCTTATTTTGAGTACTAGCTCTGAGATGGGAGGGCAAAAACAAAAGACAAATATTTACAATACCTTTGGATTTTGTGAATGACATTTACATGTATTAATTACATTTCTAAAATAATTAAATTATATGTTTTTTAAGGGTTTATTAAAAATGGAAAAGTACCAAGAAAAGCATGTACTGTACTTGAATTCTTAATGTGGCACCAAATGAGTCAAATAATTGCATACCAAAAGCTACATTTCACGAAGGCCCACACAGGTTGAAAAATTCTGTGAAAATGAAAGATAGCCATAGTGTACATTAACTAGAGTATTACCACTGTTTATGTACAGTGCTTTCATATACATGCAATGTTTTACACCATTGTTTTGCAAGCCATTATTAAAATAAAATTAACTGTTTCAGTGGTGCTTACCTCATAGGATAACGGCAATTTGCAATATTAGCAATTTCAGATGTTTAGTATAGTTACTCCATGAATTTTTTTTTCTGAGAATTTCTATAAAACCAGGCAAATTAAGAAATTGATCACCAATGCAGTCTCTGTTCATGGCATGTAATGCCTTTTTAGAAAAAAACAAATACTGTACAGTATTGTACAGTACACAAAAATAATGTACTATACTCTTCATTTTAAAACAGTAGCTAGTCTTTTTTATGTTTATATGACATATAAAATATGTTTTCCAGACTTATGATTATTAGACTAAACAAAGTTGCTATTTCAGTAACAGCTAATGCAACACTATTGCCACCCATTGATCTGTTTTGATCAGTGAAAGGCTGATTGTAGCACATTGGGCAAAACAGTGGTTTGTCACAGTTTGCTTAACATGAGATTTCATACACATTCTAGATGTGTTCATCTGTCTTTTTTTTCCTCTGTAGAGTTAAGCAAGCCAATTAAACACTATCTTATAATTGGGAATCTAACATTAATAGTTCTTCATTTATTTTGGAAGGCCCACACATAAAGTGATATATTACAGATTATATCAGTCACCTGACTGATTGTTGTGCTGACTGAATTATGCAAAAACATTTAAACTGTATCCTACCATTATTTGGTATTTAATATTGGGAACTCGATCTAAAAGTACAGTGGTCTAAAAGCTGATATAATCTTTTTCATTTTATATTTCAGAATAATATCCCTGGACCTCCAGGTGCAAATGGACCAAAGGGCCACAGAGGACCCGAGGGGAATCCTGTAAGTAATCTGAGTATATCTGATATTCAGAGTTTCAGTTGTCCTTTTCACATGAACTGCTATTAGCAGCACACATAACTTAAAAAGAAACCAAGAAATGGAAGCAGGGATTCTGGAAATAAATGCACAATTGCCTCACATTTTTTACACATCTAGAGACTTGAGTTTAAATAGCTCGTGGCACTTTCCTAGAGGTTTCAGTCTTTCTGATGTCCTTTACATTGGCTCAATAAATACCCACTAAAAGAGTTCCTATTAATGTAATGTCTGGAGAACGATGTTACTCTTGTAGCTTCAAGTATCATGATACAATCCTCATGTCCTCCTCATGTCCTCAAGGGCATAGTCCATAGTAACATCCTGAAAGTGAGTGTGGTAAATATATAGGTCTTAAACTATTATGCTGAACAATGAAAAGAAAAATTATAATTTACATTTTTAGAAAAAGTGATGTATAAGACAGCATTTTAATAAACCCTTCTTCTTGCTCTTTAAGAATAAACTTGATGTGTTAAGCATTTTGACCACTCTGGGTATTAGAATAAGAATTGATTGAATTTTAAAAGATGAAATTGTGTAAAACCTATGGTCATGTATTGCCAAGTTCTATTTTTAAAATAAAAATTATATGCAGACATCCCTCGTTTTATACCCGTGATTCATATCTAAAAAACCTCTTTGTGATCTGAAAATTCCTAAATTGAAAATGAAACTACCATTACTTTACCCGTAAAAGCCTCTGACTGGATCCCAAGCTCCCTACAAAATGTTGCACAATAATTAGATAGATACTTTTATTGATCTTTTAAGGGAAATTGCAGTTCAACAGCAGCTTAACACATACAACCTAGCAACAGTGTAACGCATGATACAATAATAATAAGACAATACATACAATACAATCACTACAGTGAGGAGTGCACTAAGAAGAGTTACTCACAGTCCAGAACACACAAAGAACAAACAAGAACAGAACAGTACACAAAAGTTGTATTGCACAATATAAATATAAATGTATTGCACAAGTCCCTGGCATATATTGCACAAAAACAGTTGTAAATGGGAAAAAGCAAAAGAACAGATGTAGCAGTTTACTGTTCAGTCCAGAAACAGGTCACTGTCAATGTTGCCTCTGCCCAGACGCAAAGTGGATGTGTTGTACACTCTTATTGCAGAAGGCAAGAATGACCTCCTGTAGCGCTCCCTGTCGCACCGTGGATGGATCAGCCTATTGCTGAACGTGCTCTTCATTTCTACAAGCATGTCATAAGGGGGATGGGAGACATTGTCCATGATGGCCTCTAGTTTGGACACCATTCTCCTCTCAGCCACTACCTCCAGGGGGTCCAGGCCAGACCCAATGACAGAGCTTGCTCTTCTGATGAGCTTGTTCAGGCTGTTAGAATCCACTGCTCTAATCCCAGATCCCCAGCATACCACTGCGTAGAAAATGGCGCTCGCCACAACAGACTGATAGAACATATGTAGCATCTTACTACATACATTGAAGGACCTGAGACTTCTCAAGAAGTAAAGTCGGCTCTGACCCTTCTTGTAGATGGCCTCGATGTTCTTAGACCATTCCAGTCTATCGTCAAAGTGCACTCCCAGGTACTTGTATGAGTCTACTATCTCCACGCCACTCCCATGGATGTAGACAGGAGTAGGTTTGACCCTTTTCCTCCTGAAATCTATCACCAGTTCCTTCGTCTTTGCTACATTCAATTGCAGGTGGTTCTCCCCACACCACTCCACAAAGCTGCTGACCAGTCCTCTGTACTCTTCCTCCCGCCCACCCTTGATACACAATTGCAGAGTCATCTGAGAACATCTGCAGGTGGCACGACTTTGAGTTGTATTTAAAGTAAAAAGTTTAGAGGGTGAAGAGGAACGGAGAAAGAACTGTTCCCTGATGAGCCCTGTGTTACTACCTGTTCAGACACACAGTTCTGAAGTTTCACAGACTGTGGTCTGCCTGTCAGATAGTCAGTGATCCATGAGATTGTGAAAGCACCGACTTGCATCTCCTCCAGTTTCTTCCTTAGAAATAAAGGCTGGATAGTATTGAAGGCACTGGAGAAGTCGAAAAACATAATCCTTACAGTGTTGCCAGCCTTGTCCAGGTGTGAGTAGGCCCTTTGCAGCATGTAGATGATTGCATCCTCCACACCAACACTTGGCTGGTAGGGTGTCCAGTGATTAACTGACCAGGGGTCTCAGGTGGGACAAGACCAGCCTCTCCAGTGTCTTCATGACGTGAGAAGCCAACGCAACTGGTCTGTAGTCATTGAGGACAGAGGGGCGCCCTTTCTTTGGTACCAGGACCAGGCATGATGTCTTCCAGAGCACAGGGACTCTCTCCAAGCACAACTCAGGTTTAACAGTCGCTGGAGCACTCCGCTCAGCTGATCAGCACAAGCCCACAGAACTCTGGGACAGACATTATCTGGTCCTGTGGCCTTACCCTGGTGACGGTCAGCCTGGCCTGGGAGATGGTGCTCATAGCGCTGTCAGTGCTGCAGGTGTTAATGGCGGAGGTGTTGGAGAGTGGCAGCTGTGGGGGATGGGAGGGTTAGCTGTTGGGGGTTGTAGCTGTAGGCAGCCATGATTGTGGGGGGATGGAGGAAGTGTTGGGCAGTCGCAGCTGTGAAAGCTTAGGGAGCGTGTGGCTATGGGGGGATGGGTGCTGAGCCACAGAGGGCCCTGAATCAAACCTGTTAAAAAACTGCTTCAACTCGTTGGCCATCTCCAGGTTCCCCTCTGTTGCACCCCCAGCCTGTTTGAAGCCAGTGATCTCTCTCATGCCGCTCCAAAAACCCCTCACCCTATTCCTTTGCAGCTTGTCCTCTGCCTTCCTCCTATAGGCGTCCTTGCTCTCTCTTAACTTCTGCTTTAGTTCCCTCTGTCACGCTTGACCCCTTCCTTGTCCCCCCTCCTAAAGTCTCTCTTCTTGTCATTCAGAAGAGCCTTCAGGTCGCTGGTGATCCAGGGTTTGTTATTGGGAAAGCAGTGTACGTCTTTGGTGGAGATGGTGTTGTCAACGTAGAAGTTAATGTAGTCAGTGACACAGTCCACCATGCTGTCTTTGTCATCACCATGTGGTTCGCACAGCACATCCCAGTCAGTAGCCTCCAAAGCACCACGTAGATCCTCCATAGCCTCCTGAGACCATCTCCTCACAGTCCTCATTGTCGCAGGTTGGTGCTGGTCAATAGGCTTGTATAGTGGTGTAAGCAGGACAAGGTTGTGATCTGATCTGCCAAAGTGGGGGATGGGCTGTGGAATTATATGTATCCTTAGCATTGGCATATAATAAGTCCAGTGTTTTGTTTTCTCTGGTTGGGCACTTAACAAACTGGTGGAAAGTAGGCAAAGTGGTGGAAATAGAGATGTGATTAAAGTCCCCTGAAATAGCCATAAAAGCTCTAGGGTGCTTTGTTTGTTGCCTGGCTGTGACTGTGTATTACGTCACATGCTGCCTCTGCGTTTGCCGTGGGCGGAATGTAAACAACAACAAAGATTGCGCATGTAAACTCCCGCGGCAGATAGTATGAACGCAGTCCAATGGCAACCAGTTCAGTGTCCGGGTTACAGAAGCACTCCTTAACATGAATATGTCCAGGATTACACCATCTGTTGTTGACAAGCACCGCTAGCCCCCCTCCTTTCCTCTTACAGCTCTCTGTGTTTCTGTCTGCCCGCACCGTCTGAAAGCCGCCGATGGTAACATTCGAGTCCGGAAAGAGTTCCTGCAGCCACGTCTCGGAGAAACACATGATACTGCATTACTCTGTACTCCCTCTGACTCCTCACCAATGCTTCCAGCTCATCCATCTTGTTCGCTAAGGACCTCACATTTCCCATAATGATCGAAGGAAAATAGGGTTTAAATCTCCTTCTCTTCACCTTTCGCGTCGCACCAGCCCTACAGCCTCGGCTTTTCCTCCTCAGCTCCTCCGGAACTAATGGCTTCTCTCCAGTGAGTAGAGCCAGACGCACTAGTGCGATCAGCTGGTCCCGTGTGTAGAACAATGCCTCTGTAGCTATCAGCATTGCAACCTGATAGAAACAGAGGTCCGAGTAGCAGAAGAAACAAGAAAAAGTATCTCAGCTCCCTAGAAGAGCTGTAGTGAAAAATGTATGAGAATTTCTGTAATTAAGATTGTTTTTAACAACTGAATCACAGAATTAAGGAATACAAAATATCTTTTATCTGAGAGGAGTTCAGTATACACCAGTTCCCTAATGGTTTGCTCAGTTCTGTCTTGTTCCATGCTAAAGTAATTTAAATGTTTTTTAGGGACCACCTGGCCCTCCTGGCCCTCCGGGTGCTGATGTAAGTATAACTAATAATTTTCACTTCATGTGCAAATCCTACGCTTTTACAAAATAAAAGATTGATAGATCTGCACAACATTACTGAAATTAGAACAAAAAGAGTGGAAACAAGAAACAATAACATGCACTGCGTAATAGGGAGATTTTTGACCGTTTTACAAAATCAGGCTTCATTAATGGCATTCACTGTATGCATTACTGTAAAATTAATTAGAATATAGTATACTCCTCCCAGTCTAACTAGTGAAGTCATTCAACACAGCTCCATCTTATGTACTTGTATAGTGAGGTGCTGGTGCAAACTGCCTGCTATGCAGCAGGCAGGTAGGATCTCAAAATGGTGGATGAAGTGAGTCCTGGGATTTTTAAGTTACAGAACATGTGGAATCCTGAGATACAACACACAATGAGAAAGAAAGGCAATAATTTTGATTCGGCAAAATGCATAAGATGACTTTTTTTTTCCTAAACATATCTGAGTAAAATATGACCAGATTCATGTATATATATATTCATATATTTACTTTTATGAATATTGCCAAAAGTGAAAAGGATAAAGTACAGTATAGGACCACCTACATTGAAGTGTCTCCGAATACCATACTGAAGCATTAATTCAGAATTCCTGCTGCAGAATCTTCCAACTGCTGCTTAATGTTTCAGCAAGTCTTAACTTACCTCCTGAGGTCTTCATGGGAATATATACTATACCTACGGAATCCAGGTTATGAATTCACAAAAACAAGATCAACTTCGATATTCTTCCATCATATCCTTTTGGATGACATATACATCTAGTCTAAATATGTGGTAATGCCAATAAATGTTTTTAAGAGTTAAAATAATTACAGAATAACAAATGTTCTTAATAAATAATTGGCATTTTTTGTTTTTCTTACTTAATAATTTTCTTTTATAGGAATGTGAAGTTTTGGATATCATCATGAAGATGTGCTGTGAGTCTTATTTTGTTTACCTCCTTATTTTGGGCTCTAATTTTTTGCACTGTTTTCTTGCAAAAAAACTACTAGCCTTACACTATATGTGAGAAAGCCATTATGTTTTCTTTTAATATAGAACGTATGAGTATTCCTCTAAATTCTCTTGCAATGACTGAAGACATTAAAAGTTGGACTGAACTAGTAAAGGCGCACAATAAAAATTATGTCACTATTTTTAAGAATCACATGCTAATGAGAAAGCACTCAAAAATGTCCATCCATTTATTTTGTAACCACTCCACCCACATCAGGGTCGTGGGAGAGCCTAGAGTCAATCCCAGAAAGCAAAGGGCACAAGGCAGGACACCCGGAAACATAAAACACCATGATATCATTATCCTTTAGTTTAGTTATTAACAGTTTAATCTGGTACAAAATCTGAAAAAAACATGGTCCTGTTTTACTTCATCTTGCATTTGATTAGCATTCCTTAATGCAAAAACTGTGAAATGTGTTATTAATCTACGTTTTCCTAAGGTGAGTGATAGACATCACAGCAGGTATCAATCAGAGATTGTGAAAAATGTGTTAAAATTACAGACCATCAAAAATATATATATCTAACACAACAGTACATGAGATGTGATTGCTAAAATCAGTCACCAAATTAACAAAATTAGAATTATCAATTTTATTCTATTGCACAGCACATCATGTACATCATTATATAAGCATTTACATAAATACGTTAATTATATTAACCTTTCATTTTCTAATTCATCATTTTCAGATAAAATACAGCATAAATATGATATTATATACTGTAATTAAAGGTATTAAATTCTCTGTGATACCTCAAATAAATTTTTGACATTTGTGTTACAAAAATGTAAAACATTTTCACTGTATCTTGTTTCCTTTTTCACAGCTTGTTGTGGTGAGTAACATTTTTTCATTTAAGTCTTAAAATTAGCACACTCTGAATTTCTTAATAAAATTACATGTTACAAGAGTAATATGTATTCATGAGTTCTGTAGTATATGAAAGAGGTGACAGTAATATCCAGGTTACATAGGTATTGAAAGAGTTTGGTAAGATTGGTTAAGATGGGGAACCATATTCCCCAGAAAGCAGTGGGGAATCTGGTTCAGAAAAGAAATTACATTTTGTCTGTGCCTACCATACAGTATTTATTTCACTTTGCAATCAAGATAAATCAACAAATAGTGATCAAAACTTTAGTTTCCAAACTGGGTTAGTGTGACAATTTTCAGTGTTTGTATTTATATACATTCTTAAGTCGTGCTTTGTATTGGAAATCTTTAAAAAATTGCCAGTCGTTTTACATCTTTTAAAAGAAATCAATTACATTTATTGTTTCAGATATAATGATTGGTTAAATGTACTGAAGTCATAAACAAATTGAGGGAAAAAAAGAAACCATTTCTGATTTATGTTAATATGTGAAAGTGTAATATGAAACCTATGCACTGTCAAAGAAAACTGAGATGGAGAACAATGGTCAACATATACAGTATAAAAACAAATTCAGATGTTAACCACAAATTACCACATGCCTCAGAAACTCTTTTTATTTCTCCTTCCTAGAATGCAAATGTGGACCCATTGACCTTGTCTTTGTAGTAGACAGCTCAGAGAGCATTGGCCATCAAAACTTTGAGCTTTCTAAAGAGTTCATTGTCAAGGTCATTGACAGACTAAGCAAGGATGAGCGAGTCAAGGTGAAATGTTTAATTTTTATCAATCTGTGTTGCTTGTCTTAATTTAAGTGTTTAATACATGGGTGAGTATATACAGTCTTATTTTAATTTGTTGAATAACCTTCAGTAAAAACTATTTTAAAATATAAAGCACCGTTTAGTCCAGATGCATATGTTTATTCATGTTAAGGAGGAATTTTCTCACCTGGTTAGAATCCACTTAAGCTTGGATTTATGGTAACCTCTGACTAGGTTAATTGTATGTGGAAGTACATGCAGATGTTTTGAGCTAGAATCTCGGCCAGATAGGCTATCTTGTCTATACAATACGTAAGAGTGACTTTTGGAAACAAGGAACAAACACTACTGGGACAATATAATGCCCCAGCACATAAACCTCTTTCCTAACTTGATTTATAATAATCTTCCAGTTTGATGGGCAGGAGTCCCGTGTTGGCGTTGTTCAATACAGCCATGAATATACGCAGGAACTTATAACATTGGGAGATGCTAACATTACATCCATCAGAGAACTAAAAGCGTAAGTAAATGTATTGTTGTCTTTTGTATTGTGTGAGAAATTGGATATCCAGTCTGATTTACAGTACAAGTGAAATGATGCAATATTAATGGCTTTTAAAAAAAAAACATGAAACACTCCTAATTCCCCCTTCACAGAGTGCAAATTTTGAATGAAATTTTGAAACAACTGTCTCATTATTTGTGTTGGTGAGGGAGGGTTCAGTACTGTCATTACGTATTTAATACGATTGTGTTCCTCTTCAATAAAATGTTTTGTGTGGTGTAATACAAATAACTACTATCTGTGTAGATGTCATTAGTTGCATTAACATGCATAAAGGTAGCTAAGTGTATACAATATTCACGTAATGACCAAGCATTTTTATCCATTGTAAAATGCACACTGTAGGAGACAAAGGAAAAGCAGAGTAGCATGCTAAAGCATACACAATAAAAGGTTTTATAGGAGGATAAACTACTGTGTACACATTAGACAAAGTCTGTCTCCTTTTTTAAATTAAAAAAACTTCTGATTAACTTATGATTGATGCACTCTTAAAATCGACTTAATCATGAGGCACTGTTTAATTCAACTTTGAATGTACAGTATACTAATTGTTATAATTTTGTTGAGTGGGTATGAGATGTACTGTATATGCACATATTGTAGATAGCATAATATTTAATAAAATATAATAATATAATAATAAGTTATGTTTACAAGGGATTTGTACACATGTAAAAGTCAATTTCTTGTTTCTGTGGCCAAGTATGCAAACTGTTGTGCTTTATACTGTAGGCTTGATTTAGTGTTCTCACTGTCTCATTCCACAGTAGTTGTGAAATGTGATTGTTTCCTACTAGTTGAGACATTTGATGGATAAAGTCTCAGTATACAAAGGAAAAAGCAGTGGTTAATTCCACAAGATAAAACACAAAAAGAAAAATAAGGTAGTGATTTTGTGTTCTCTCCTGAAGAAGGCTCAGCTGCAATGTGGTGTTCTTTCATAGTTTGTTCCAAATGATTCTTTGTAATAATTACAGCCAAGACCATTTTTAGTCAATGTTGCCATCAAGGTGGCATTTGTTTAAGTAATGCAATCAAGAAGTACAGCAGGTAGTGTTCTAGCGTTACCAAAACACTTTGTATCACAACTGGGTTCTCATCAGCTGAAATGGTGACAAACCCTGGCACTAAATATTTAACACTAAAAAACATGGCTGTGTTTTCAGAGCTGTGAAGAATATGAAGTGGATAGCTGGCGGCACTTACACTGGATCAGCACTTCAGTTCTCACTGGACAACCTCATTGTTCAGTTACAGAAGGATAACCGGGTGGTCCTGGTGTTGACCGATGGACGCTCTGACACTAGCCGAGACCCCACAAAGCTCTCAGTGTTGTGTGACCATAATGTCCAGGTACAAAAAAAGACTGTAATCCAAGCACCTTATTACTTAGTAGGAGGTTTATTCCTAAACATGTGCTCAACCACAGTTAGTTCATCACAATATACAGTAACAAAAGGAAACAAGTCTTAATGTTAGAAAATCAAATAGAAACCTTTTTCCTACCTATTGGGACTCCACCTATAATCTGACAGTAATCAGGCGATACATTAAATCTTCATTTTACCGTTTCACTTAAAAAATGAAAAAGTGCTAAATTATACCAGGGTTAGTGCTTTAATGTACATCAAATGTTGTATTTATATCTTATCTTTAAACTACTATATCACTCCTTAATTTAGAAAGGTGGTTAAAACTGTTGGTAAGATTTTACATGTATAAGCCATAGAGACCTCTAACATGGAAAGTGTTGTGAAAATGTCCTGCGACATTTTGTTAGATCTCCACACAGCAAAAGGAATGCTACAGGGTACAGAGCATCATATCTACAGCTGATAGCATTTGTTTTACACAATAAAGTGTGAAGGGAAATTATGGTTAAACTGTTGCTAATATGCAACATATGTCCCTTTATCCTGTTTCATATAGTAGCTAGTAGCTATTGGTTTCAAAGATTTCATCTTCTTAGTTGAAGGAAGTATTGGCTTCAACAACATGGTAGGGTTTATGGTTCAATACCTATAAGTAAAGAAGTGTCTCCTTTCTTTTAGTTTAAAATGTACTTCCATGTAGTTTCCATTTGTGTCTTCTGGTTCATGTTTCACTGTAGCGCCTGGGTTGACATTGTCAGTGAATTTGAGGATTTGGAATACTTGCAGCAGATCCCTTCAGAGTCTCTTCTGTTAGAAATGTTCAGTTCAGCCTATTGGTATAGGATATTACCTAAACCCAGGAATGTATCAAGTTAACCCTTGGGATAGATTCTAACACAACAACACCTTTTCTCTAATGTGGTGAAAAAAAATTACACAGTATTCTAAATGAGGTCTAGTACATTACCAATTTTATTATAAATCATTTGATTTTAGTCCTTTCATCTGTACATTGTAACATTTTACTTTTTACTGCTTCCCCATAGGAAAATGTATACAAAATGAAAACAATGTGTACATATAAACATTGAGGGCTTTTTCATAGCTCGGTGCTCTTCTAGTTATAGCTCTTTTCATAGCTTTTTCAGCTCAGTGTTTACCTCTTAATATTTAGTGATTGTTTTTACTACCAGCATGCAAAAATCTGCACCTATACAGGATCTATATTAAATTCCTTTTTGCCTTATTTAATTGCCAAGTGTTAAATTTTACCTAAATGTTTTTGAATTATTCATTTAAAGGTGGTTGGTGTCGGTGTAGGGGATGTTTTCCGGAAAACACCCAACATAGAACAACTTGGCCAAATGACATGTGCTAGTGCACCAAAACCTGGTATCACTCTGCAAAGAGACAACTACGCGGAGCTTCTGGATGAGTCCTTCCTACTGAACCTAACTTCACACATCTGTCAAGGTAAATCATCTGTGCATTTTCACTTCAAAATATTTTAGTATCAGGACTTTCTTACCCCAGCTGCAGAAGATATTGCCAGATGAACTAGAATAATGCGCAAGTGTGTTCAAGATTTGTCTTCCCTTTCACTTTAACATATGAAATATGCAATTCCACTTGTTCCCACTGGTTCGTGTTTCACTGTTTATTCAGAACAAACGCTGGTTTGACTTTGTTAAAGCCGTTCTCTCATATTTTAATCTTACCTTAGCATATCCAAAGACTTATTTATTTCATTTAAGAAAATAATTTAAATGAAAATGAGGAATCATAACACTTCTAGCTGGGAAAACAAATATCAAACATTATTTGATGGCTTTAGTTTTCAGTAACCAGAATGGATGATTTTCAAAAAAAATATTTCGATAAGGTAAGTGGCTTTGGACTTTTCCTCTATGCTGTGTGGATATCATTTTGCAAAGTGCATTCTGACAAGACTGTATATGTTTTCAATTTGGGAGCTTTGGGTGCACTGTAAATGCTCTAGAGTTCCCACATATCTTCAACTGAGCCTGAAAGGTTGTTGTGGTTATTGGGATTGATAAATCTGAGTAAATGAACCTAAAAAACACATGAATAATTTAAGGACAGTTTAAACCTTTGCAAATAAATTAATTGTGATGTACTGATACATTACTTAAATTATCACTAGCAAAACCATGAATGGCCCACCCTGGTTCTAATGATTTCTGTTCTTCATTGTTCTTTTTTTTACAGAAAAGAAATGCCCAGATTACACCTGTCCAAGTAAGAATATTTCCTTTAATACAGAACCTTCTTCAATCTCATGAATATATCTTAAAATTTTCAGTTTCAGGAAAACACAAAAATAAAGTTTTGAAATCTCCAGAAATGAGATAATCAATTCATATTTGAGAGAGACAATATTGGAATTCGAGTTCCTTAGTGACAAAAAATAAAATATGGCAACATTTTATAGAAATTAGTGCAATCTGATTAACAAATACAACTGTGATTTTTTTTGTATATTTTTTAGGGTATCCACTAATGGTTGTTTGAGAATAAATCACTAGTTTTGTTTGCATACATTGTTAACAAAAGTGCACCAATTAATTTGAACCAGTTTATTGGCTTGTTTTATAGACACTTTCATTCATAAAGCATTGTTACCTTCCTTATTCATCAAAGATATTGTGATGCCACAGTCAAATTGTCCCCCTTCCCTTTCATTGCAGTTGCTTTTGACAGTGATGCAGACATCACTATCATGATGGACAGTTCTACCAGCGTTGGAAGCCGCAATTTTCAGACCAAAAAGAAGTTTGTGAAGCGTCTGGCAGAGCGTTTTCTCAATGCTAAGAAGCAGTCAAATGCTGAGGTGCGGGTTTCTATAGGCCAGTACAGTGGCAGGGATCAGCAAAAAATTGAAGTCCCCTTTTCGGAGAACTTCACTGAAATAGCAGCCAGGGTTGATAAAATCCAGTTCCTCAACGAAGCCACAGATGTCTCGGAGGCCCTCAGCTTCTTGATATCAAAGTATTCAGGGAGCAGGTTTGGGGTCAAAAAGAAGATCCTTATTTTCTCGGACGGGCGATCCCAAGGAATCACAGAAAGCATTATAGAGAAGCGAGTGCGAGAAGCTGATGCAATAGGGATCACATTGTATGTTTTAGCAGTTGGCAACCAAGTGAATGAGGCAAACCTGCGCCACTTAGTCAGCCGGGGGAGACCCTACGATGTTGCCTATGCCCAGCGTCACCTCTTCAGGGCTCCTGACTATCCTTCTCTGTTGAGAGGGGTGTTTTATCAAACTGTGTCAAGAAAAATGTCATTGAATTGAGAGGGTTGAAGGCTGGGTAGGCTGGGGGGGAAGTTGACCACGAGCTTTTCTGTGCAAATTATAATTAGATCCTTTAGGGGACTTTTTGTATTTTTCTTTTATTTTAATACAGATCACAGTTTGTGCAAACATTAAAAAGGTATAATTCATGGGTTTTTTATGTCTGTAAGAAAAACAAAATATGGAAATCATTCTAAGTAACCAGTTATTTTTAAGCAGATCAAAGCATCCTTCAAGGGTAGCTTGCTAATGGTACACATAAACTCATATACATTTTATCTGAAGGAGCTGAGAAAAGGGAGTGACAGAATTTAAAGATTTATGTGAGTATTTTGGCAATATGAAAGTAGGAAACTTCTCCTTGAAAGGGAGACTTAACACGTCTGAAACCAGTTTATATAGTATTTGACTAAAAGAGACGTCATAAGGAGTCTGATGATTTTTAATTGTTTTAAACTTGCATTGCTGATCAAAAAGAAATTATTTTCTGTTCAATGCAGAGCTCCATGTGCAGTATGTTAATGAAGGCAGAAATTCAAATGTAGGTTGAAAAAACAAATGGAAAATAATGAGACTTTTTATGCTGTATTTAATTGTTTCAACATTTATTTGTGGTTTTTTTTATTACAAGGATATTTTTCTTCTACTCCAAAAGTTACCTGATTTGTAGTATAATTGTATTCAATAGCTATTTGTTGAAATAACACTACATTACTATTTTGTGTTTCTACATACAGTACATACTATACAGTAAATTTCTTCTGATACATTCTGTGCTGATGGTGAGTAAACAGTGCTGTGACCAGAACTTATGAAATCATTTACAATTATATAGAATCAATAGGATTAATTGTGCCTGGTAGCTTTTCGCTCCCACTCATTTTTTCCATTTCTGCACACTATATGCCTGTATTTACATTTTAGAGACAAAAACATTTTGCATTTTGTTACTAGAATATTTGGTGCTACTTCAGGCTTCCCTGTTTTTTTTAATTTTTATAATAAAAATGGATTTGAATGGTGCTTTAAAAGAAATGCTATATTAACAAAGATTAAGTTTTGAAGTTTAAACACATTTTAAACATTTTTAAGACATCAGAAACAGTGAAAACTTTACAGCTCATTTGTCACTGAAAAGATCTTTCTATGTAAATCCTTTGTTCCTGCAACTAAATAAACAATTAAAGTTCCTTCACCAAATATATATTGTGCAGTGTATTGTAATGTTCTCAGTCACAGATGTTGATTCTAAAGTTCTAAGTAATGTGTTCTAAGGTTCTAAGGGAAAGGTTTTTGTACACTGTGCTATGTACATCCCCAAGCATTTTCTAGCTTTTAAATATTTAATATTTGAAATCTCATAAAAATTACTTCTAGAGTCTGAATCTTAAAAGTATATGTTTTCTTTCATCTTTTATTTTAACTAGAGAAAACACAAAACACAAAGTCACAAATCTGAAGTCACAAATTCAAAAGACGGCACATGCTTTTACTTGGAAGCTGTATTTTCTACAGAAGTTTGTCTTCCATTCATTGGAAAAGAATTAGAGGTTTTGTAGAGATCAGTGATTCCAAAAGTATTATTATTATTACTATTATTATTATTATTATTATTATTATTATTATTATTATTATTATTATTACTACTACTACTATATGGGAGAAAGCTTGTGTGTACCTCCAAATGTAATTAGAATTTGACCTCTTCCCAACATGCTGTTTAAATCAACATTTTGTATTTCAGAGAAATTGTAACATGATATACAGACGAAAAATATTAAAAGGTTATTTTGTGTAACTTGCCTGGTTGAGGGAAAGGCAGCGTGCCCATGATGTTGAGGCTGATGGGACTCCTCTCCCTTTTCCTCAAGAGGAATAAACCAGGAAGGTGCTGTATGGGTGAAAATGGGGGTGGAAAGAGATGTGCAAGAAAGAAGCACAATGCGGATACTCACCGGAAGAGACAGGCGTAGGAGAGCAGAAGAAAATTAGATTAGAAAACCCCCTAGTTAAGTGAATGAAAATGTTTAAAAACATTAAATAAAAGCAGAAAGGAAAGGTGAGATTTATTTTAAGTCAGGTTTGTGGCACGGAGGAATAAAACTTTAGAGTTGAACATGATCTCTACAAACCCCAAAAAAGGGGAGAAAGAATGTTTTCTTTCTGTGAAGGAAACTCTGAAAATAATAAGTTTTGAAAGAACTCTAGAGGGCAAAACCTCAATAAAAGAAATGCCACAAAAAATGAAGACGAAAAGGAAGTTTTAAATGAGGGAATATCCAGCTGATACCTTCTGAAAATGTTGGGGTGGCAACCGTAAATTGCCAGCGGACCCCTGTGGTGCCAAGACTTAGGGATGATGGTCATACATTTAAAGTTATTAGCAATAGTTGTAGAGAGATACATGTGACTATACTTAGAATGCTAATTCCAATGTGAACAAAGAATGGAATGGACAAGGGCGTGAAGAAAAGGTTGTGGGAGGAAAAGGTGTCAGGGATTATGGTGAATTTAAATTTATATTGAATGACCAGTGTCTACATTAAGGGTTGGTGCATTTGTCTTTCCATAGATTGAATTTGCTCCTTTCATAGATACTTGTTATTTACCACACATTTCAGAGGCGACATGGGATATGGGATTGTAAGATTTCTAACGAGGCCACAGACTGAGAGGACTCTCTCTTCTGATTCAGTACGTGAAAGTGGGTAGACTTTCCCATTTAGTGGCAGTGTTCACTGTAGAAGATCAATTGTGCAGTCATAGGGTCGATGGGGAGATAGGGACGTGAACTTTTGCTCGCTAAAAGCTTCTTCTAAATTGGTGTATTGTGGAGGTATCTCGGAGTGTTCTCTCTAAGTGACGTGTGAGCCAGTTTAAGTGGAAGGCAACAGTAATTAAGTTGACAGTAGCTCGCCTTGAGCCCAAGAAATGTGCGGCTCATGTGAGCTCAACCATGGAAAGCCAAGTAAGAGGGGATGGGTCCGATAGTCCAGAAGTAGAAAGCGAATACTCTCGAAGTGGGTGGCCCCAACCTGCAGGGTGAGTAAGGTTGTTTGCCAGTTAATTAATCCTGGGGTCACGGGAGAACCATCCAAGGCTTGAACACGAAAAGGAGTATCCAGAGGCTCCAAAGGAATGTTCCAGGCTCAAGTTGAATCTAAAAAGTTCCCGGCTGCCCTGAATCAATAAAAGCAGAGAGTGGTGGGGATAAAGAGTCCTTCAGGCGGTTTAGTGCATAGAGGGGTTTCACTCACCAGCAGTTCCTTCTTGGTTGGGGAGTGTTGGGCCCAAAAGTGTCCATGGCAGCCACAGTATAAACAGCAACCTTCTCTTCCACGCCTTTCCCTTTCCTCGGGGGATAATCATGCATGACTGAGTTCCATGGGTTGGTCAGAAGATGACGCAAAGTACTCCCTGGAAAAAACTAGGATGAAGAGGTGGTGATGCCCGAAATCTTAAGGGTAGGAAGATGGTAAGCGACATGCTGTCTGGGAGCCGCATCATGAAAAATCGCTTTTAGTTGTTCCTGAAAAAGATTGAAGTCAGATACTTCCAGGGGCATCTCTCTCCAACAGAGTGGTTGCCCACTCCAAAGCTCGTCCGTTTAGCAAGGAGAAAGAAAGTTGCAAGGAGGATCTGATGTATAGCTTAACTATAGTATTGGTAAAACCAATACTGAGCAAGGTAGAAACAGAGAGCAGGGTTTAAGTTGGCTGAAGGGGAGAGTGGATTAAGTAGGCCATAACCGTGTAGGTGCCCTCTGGTGGCTGGATGCTGGTACTGTAACAGGCTCCAGAACGGGGAAAGGTTAGACAATGCATCGTTAAATTAAATTGATATAGAGCCTTTAGCTGGCCCACACCTAGGACATCAAAGGGGCACTCCTACTCCACCAAGAAGTCCTGTGCCCTGGCTAGGAGGTATTTATAAGCCCCTGTCAGGAGGTCTCAATTTGAAAGGAAAGAACTGAGAGGAACATACATTGCAAAAGTGGACACAGAAGAGGACTAAGACACTAAGAACTCTACAGAGAAGCAAAAGAAGGCCTTAACACAGTCTTCCTTCAGCCCACTATGTAAAGCTAGACTTGGAAAAATAAGGTAGTGGGGTGAGCATGAAGAACCACATTGTTTTGGTTGCTCAGACTGAAGAGAATGATCTGCACTACACAGAATTTCTTGCTGCAGTGGAAGGAGTTGTGTCAGGTCATGTTCTTGGAGAATGGAGAAGCTGGACTGCTCTTTTAGGACTTTTGGGTCTTAGTAACTGAGATCCATAAGGGTCTTCATACTGTATAGTCTGTGTGTGTGTCCCTTGTGGATAATTTGTTTCAATGGTCTTGGGTAATGGGAAGACTGTAAAAAATGATTTTTATTTAAGATTACTGTCTTTTAAGGTCTGTGAATGCACTTGTGGTTCTGACAGATCAAAAGGAGAAAAATGGCTCCTGGCACCCTAATTTGCTAGGTAAAATTGTAGTCAGTTATAAACCTAACTTTTAAATGCAGTTCCTGCATTTAGGGGTCAATATCTATGACACAGGGAAGCAGGCATCAGCAAGCATCGTGAGGGGAAGGGCTGCAACCTAACAGCACAGATGCACTGGCGCTTCCATGAGGAATGACTTTAAAAGGACATCAGGAGAGAAGGACAGGCATGTTTGACTAAATAGGCCTCTTTGGTAAAAAGGATGCATTTGAAAAAAAAGATACAGGTCTGATTCAGCTACTGGAAATGTTCAGAGTGGACTGCTGCAGCCCCATAAGAACAGGTTACTGTTGGCCAGCCGCTGGGAAACAGGCAAGAATGTGTTTGTTACAGTTTAGTTTCAAATCAGTGGGAGCTCAATGGCTTACATAGACTGTAGAAAACAAGAGTTTGGCTTCCTTAGGATGGAAGCTGAAGAAAAAGAAAAGCCATGGAGAAAAGCATGGTAAGATCTGTCTCATCTGAGAGCAAGTGGCAAATGCAAAATCATAATACATCAAGAAAGAAGCACAAAGGAGGTGCTCAGCAAGTGAAATATGTATCCATAGGAGAGCAGAAGTGGGTGGTTAGAATTTGCCCTACTCTTGTACTTCTGTTTAAAAACACAATTTAATTTTAATGCCTGACTTGTGAAATTTTGACAGAAGGGTAACAACCATCACATTTTACCACACTGACCAAATTACCATGTGCATTTAGTACATAACTTTTAATTAAATTAAAACCAAATTCAAGTTCAAGTTTATTCTTATACAGTATGTACCTGAGTAAAATGAAATGCTTACTTGTGTTTTCTCACATGATAAATGACATAACAGATGACATAACATTGACAAAGAAAATTCAGTGCAAAACTGATGGATGTAAGTAGGGGTAGGAGATTTTAAGCGATGGAGTTTAGGAGTTCTTTGGCTGTGGGATAGAAGCTTTCTTCTAATAAGATTTTCATTCAGGTACTGTATTTACCAAGGATGAAACCAACAACATCCTGGAAGGACAAACTTAGATGCATATTAAATTATATTACTGTAGCATTGAAGTGCTACAGGAAATTAAAACTAATCTACATGGCCTCATGGTATTTTACCAAATATACTTAAGGAAATAAGTGATGTTGTTATTAGCAAAAAGTAGCATAAGCAACACATACTCAAGACAGCCAATAATACCCATTGATTAGGAAGCTACCATTGACATACCCATTCATAAATAGGGTAACAATCACAGACCCATACATCTTAGTAGTATTACTTTAGGATTATGGAAATGATGATTAAACTAGAGAAATAAGTATATGGAAATTGAATTCTAGGGTATAAGCATCATATTGTTTTAGAAATGGTAAATCTTGCTCAACTAACATTAGAATTATTTTTGTGTTTTCGGAGATTTTAGTTTAAAAATATGTATCAATTGCTGGCAGTAAGCATTCAAGAAAATGTGTGTGTTTGGATTAATTTTTGGTTCATCAAGTTAAAAAACAGATGCAGTACAGATAAATGCTCCAATTAAGGTGATGCCATTAGTAGAATACAACAGTGGTCTGTATTATGACCACTGCTCTTCCTAATTAGTGTTCTGTATTTGTAATGATAAATTACTGAAAAAAATTACTGAATTTCACAGATGATGCAAAAAAAGTGAAGCAACAAACAATATTTGTGACAATGATTGTCAGCTCCCTCATTTTAACAGGAGTATAGCTGTGTAC